AGGCTTATATGTATATATCAGAATTTTATGTTAATAAATACAATAATTTTTGCTACGAAATTTTTCCAAGTCTTTAAATTTATTCAATTGACAAAATTACCAAATATGATGGGTGCCTATTCTGAAACAAATGCAGTTTAGATACACATCACTGACTAATCAATCACTCACCCTCATGGAACTTACATCCAACTGGTAAGAGACAGACTATAAAAATAAATAAATAAATAAATAAATAAATAAATAAATAAATAAATAAATAAACAGAGGTGGGCCAAAGCAGGTTAAATTACCAGCCATCATCACCTAAAAGATTAATCCTAATCATTTAATATTAATCTTTTAATCTACTAATTCTAAAGTAATAACAATAATAACAAGACAAATAATACAAATAAATAACACAATAATAAACAATAACACAAGAGTAAACTGTTTTCCACACTCACAACTGTGAGCCTCCTCTTGCCTACCCCTGTATAATGTAGAACACTAGTATGTGACGTGTGCAATAAAGAAAAACAAAACAGAAAGTTATGGGTTATGCTAGAGAAGAGAAAAATAGAAATTTCTGACCCAGTGACTTCTCACTGAGATGGTGGGCTTAAACTGAATGCTAGAAATAGCTCAACCTTCAGGTAGGTATCTGAGGGAAGAGCACTGCAGGCAGGAGAAATGGTCAAAGCAAGTGCTGAGGCACGTGTATGCCTGACATAGTCAGGGACCATAGAGTAATCAATCCAGTGTAGCCAAGAGAGGAGAGTGAGCTCCAAGACAAGCTCAGCAACCCAAAGGGACAGACTGAGGTGCAGGTCCTGTACAGCTAGGAAGGTTACTGCAATGCAGACGAAGTTGAGTTTAATTGAGATGGTGAAGATTTTCAGTCAGCCTGGATTTTCCTGTGTAGGCAGATCACAGGAGTAAACAGGAAACCTTTTTCTAGCCCTGATTGTAAATAAGAGGAATGCAATCTCCCTGTGGGAGTTTCACTGTGAAATCAAAACATAGCAAGTCCAAGTGGATATAAACAGAATGCTTCCCAAGGACATGTATCTGCTCCCAGACGTGTGTGTGCTAGGGTGTCTCATCTGCCTTCTATTTATTCCATCAGTGAGGCACAAATTCTAGCTCTAAAGTTACGGGCATGGCTGAACACACACCTGTCACTGGAAAGGTGCCATCGACAACAGTTTATGTCACATATACTCATGGCCCAGGGCTGCAGAATGCTCATGCCATGCCAAGCAAAACACACAAGGGGTGCATTTGGGAACAGAGTGAATGACCGGGCTGGTGGGAGGCAAACTTTGTAGCAGCAAGGGAGTGAGATGCCCCTGCTCCCCATGGGAGTGTGTACTTGGCTTGTTTGAGTAACTCTGCAGGTTAGCAGGAAACTGAAGCTCACTGTTCAGAGATAAGCAGGACCTGTGATAAGGACAGGTGTGTGACTAGGGGACCTTACTGGTGGGAGTAGAGTAGGGAGAGAAACTTGTCATTAGGCCAATGTGGGCCCTCTCAGTTTCCTGCAGATGTAAAGGCACACATAACACTGGGTCTTAATTTAGTTCTTACACCAGAAAGAGAATAGGGAAGAGGGTACAGAAAAAGTGGAAATTACAGCTGTAAGACTAGATAAAGGCCACCCTCATTCTCCCTGGAAGACAGAGTGCTCCACCAGCTCTTTTCTGCTAGTTAAGTACATTAGGTCTCGTAAATGATGGATCAGTTTGATTGGACTGAATACAACTCTGCTGATGACCTATTGCACTTAATGTAAATGCACAATGAAGAGAAAGACCACTTCCTGTTACAAAGAACCTAAAGGAATGTAGCATATCTTAAGTACATAGCTAGTAATTCCTGGGCAAAGGAGTCATTGGCTAATAATAAAATGAACAACTAAGCAAGAAAGTAAAATCTTACGTAAATACAGCACCTGAAAGATGATAAAATCTCTCAGCTTTCCTGTATAAAAATGTATTTACCAAGCTTAAAAGCGAATAGCCCTCCTTCCTTTGTGTCTCACTATCTACTTACCACAGGTGAGAACATGATAAGTCAGAATAGAAAATCCTGTCTTTTTGTCTCGGCTTTAAAAGACAAAGAGCTCCTTTTCCTTTTTTTCTTCTGAGACTCAGCTGTTCATGTCTTGTGGTTCAGAGGCTCTGCTTGTTTTTTACAGAATGACTCTCTTTCTATCGTTGATTCAGTGTGCAGACATATATTCAGTAGCTGCTATTTTCTAAGCGCTATGGTGGGGGCCTGGGAGCAAGGAGGACTAATACGCATCTTACAGGAGAGCTCAGCTTAAGAAAAGGAATGCCAGGCAATAATTTTGGAAAAGATTTATGTACTTTTGTCTTTATTTTTCATAATTTAAAAGTTATACAAGTAATGCTAACTACTACTTAAAAATTAAGTTTTAAAAAGAGAAAGAAAGGGGTAAAAGCGTATCTTTCCAACACAAGTAAAAAAAAAGTCCTCCCTAAATATTTTGGAATTTTTTCTTGTTTTTGTACTTTACTCTGAATGGTTTTGACATTCTTATTTAATTTTGATCATTTTGTATATAATGTTATTGCTTTATTTTTATGCTAATATTAATATGTAAAGCTCCCCCATAATATTAAAATTCATGGTACAGGTCATTTTAAATGTTGGCTTAATATTTCATTGAATAGGTATGTAGTAGATTAAATACCCATCTTATTTTTGGATATTTAATTTTAGTTTTATCTTTTATACATAGCATGCTTAACATATTGATTCATGAAACTATTTTACATTTTAGATAATTTTTAGAATGATTCTCAGTGGTTGAATTATATATTCAAATATGAGCGATGCTTTAAATTTTTAATGTGACAATGGCAAGTCTTCTCCTGGAGGTGACTTTTGTTTGTGCCGTTACTCAAAGTGGGGGCAGTTGTGTAATCAGATAGTTTCAATCATGTACAAGTTTTCGGTACATATGGAGCAGAGACGAGGAGTGGGTTTGTTAAAACCTGAGTTTCTTAAACCCCACGACACATCCCTTTAGGAGCATGGGAAGCATTTGGTCCGTGTTCCTTCTCTGCAGTACATCACCGGGTTCAGGGAAAAGGAGGCAGCGCCTGAGTTGTCAATGACTCTAAAGCTGTCATTGGACCAAAGGAGTGGTTCCTCCCTGTCCATTCCAGGAGCAAGTGTATGAGCATGACAGTCTGTAAATGTTTAACTAAATAAAAACAAATATTAAAGATCCTATATCCAATGGTCCCAAGATTAGTCACATATGGCCAAAAAGGGTCTATTGTCTTTGGTTTCAATAATACTACTTTCTTAGAGTAGTGTTATTTCTACGTTCTTAGAGTTGGGGTGAAGATTGTCACATGGTAGCATAAAGAAACTGGCACGTTTGGACCACCCAGTCTGTGCTGTTCCCTTCACTCCCACTGAAGAACAGGTTGCCTGCATCCCCTTGGCCTGAGTGGGGCCAGGATGTGGTCACTGGATCACCCCTTCCTCCCATTTCCAGCCTTCGGCACTAATTATTACCACTCCCTCTTCTTCCAGATGACATTTTTAAAAAAGAATCAGAATGGAAAGCAGAAAGAATAGTGAGAATTCTGGGCTGAAAAAATACTTTTTGGTGAAGATCTTTTGAGGAAAGAAACCATCTTCCACGTGTGCAATCCCTCTTCTGCCCTCGGTGAGTAGAGTAGTGGGAAGTAGAGCTCTTAAGGTCCTGGTTGTGAAACAGAGACACAGGAAGTCACCCTGGTGCTCCGATAAAAACCCGCCTCAGGCAGAGTTCCATGAGAGACATATGAATTATGTCTCTCATTCATATAATTCAGCGGTTCTAAGTAAACATGTTTGAAGACATTTGGAAGGCTTTAAATGAAATAAATATACAGAAAACACAGCAGGGCAATGGTATTACTTCATTCAGACCCAAACTATGCATCTTCAGGAACTACCCATAACTGGGTCCTTGTTCCCAGTCCTCTCATTCCCACGTTTCAGGTCCGTCTATTCCTAGGAGGGAGGGCCCACCTACCAATAAAAAAAAATGAATATCTCCCCACCCTACTTATCTGTTTGTCATTCCAGTAGTTCCTTTTCTGAGGTGTGTACCCAGAAGAAAACCAGGAGGGAGTATCATACTGTACTACAGATTCTCAGCTCCAAGAAATGCCTCCCAAATCACCAACAAAAAGGCAGTACCAACCAAAAGACTAGATCCTCCCTGGTCCAATAATCTTTATTTATTTGCCTCCTGTTTGATTCTGTGGGATTCTTTCACTGTCAATCTCTCCCCGGCTGCATCTCTGGATGGTGTTCTTTCTCTCATTGACAACCAGTTCCCAGTGCGTGAACTAACTGCTCCTTTCCGGATGAGGCTAAGATCTGGACGCCCCCTGCTGGTGAACGCTAGCACAAACAATCTTCGCCCATCCCTGGAGTCTGGACAGTTTTCTTCACACCTCTGGGCTTCAGTTTCCTCATATGTAGTTTGGAGAGCTGAGACCTAACTCAAAAAAGTTTTTGTTAGAATTAGTGACACTATATATCATGCACTTCAAATGGTATCAGGCGTGTATACCATTATACACATTATATCAGGGTGGGGGGTTGCGCTTTCCCAATATCTCAGAACTTATAACACAGAAATTACACAATGTGAAATACGGGTTCAAAGCAGGAATGCCCTTACCTGCCTCCAGATCATCATATATACACACATTTATCAAGATATTGAAGCTGTCATCTCATGATGGCTTATTGGGCTATAGCAATATGTCAAAAATGCACTACTCTCAAGGGCGGGGAAGAAAAGGGAAACCATAGGTATGGTAAAGGAATCTTTGCACCAGGAGGCAGTGAGAACTTCCACCTGCGGGTGCCATTGTTTCAGGACAAAGCTTCCAGGTTGTGCAACACCTTCAGTAAATACTTCCTGAAGTAGAGACTGAGCCTGGGAGTTTCATTCTGTCTCACTTGACAGGTGGCAGCAGAAGACCAAGCAGTGCTCGTCTGTTTGAGTGAGACGGACAGACGCCGCGCTCCTGGGGTTGCCCAGGATGTTGCAAGGCCTTCTGCTGGTGGCCGCTTGCTTCCTGTCTTCAGCCCCAGGTAGGTGTCTAGTTCTTTTTAGATTCTATGAAACACAGCAGTGAGCCGCTTGCTTTTCATCTTCTCCAAATATATTTGTTTAACAAATTTTAGTAACTAGTTGGGCAGGTTTTAATCTGCTGTGTTTTTCCTTTTCAGGGTGGGGATGGGCATTGACTGATATAAACACTCAATACAAGAGGCAAAGAGATGTCCTTAATCAATATTTCCATATATGATCTGAGAATATGGAAATCAAATGGTAGATTTCATTCAGCATAATTTAAATAATGAATATGAATCTTGAGCTGAAAAGTGAAATTCATCCAAACTCACCTCGTCACTTTTCGAGTGGTAGAGTCCGTGGATTTGATTCCATTGCTGTGTGGAAGGCTTTGGAGGGCATTTGCTATTATTATCCAGACCAGTTGGCTGGCCCTGTACTTTTGAATTCACACTTTCATATTTAGTTTTTCCATTTCTGGTGATAATAAGTATGACTAATTCAGAAATAAAGACTTGACCAATTTTATTTTCTAAAGCACTTTGTTATTACTTGATCAAAGTAATCCAGGTCAATGTCTGTTATATTAATCTTGTCAACAACTTTTCTTAACAACTAATAAACATAAAAATAACTATCTAATCCAAACCAAAACAGCAGATTTCTTTTTATTTTCATCTAGTTTTGCTAGTCCAAACTAATCTAGTATGTGAGTTCTGTGGGAGAGAGGAAGCAGGTATTAACGACAAATTAGTAGAAACACATTGTGTTACAGCCGGAATTTGTATATTCCCTGGATGGCAGTTAGTTGTGTTTGTTCCACAGGCTTCAGAATAATTAGACTGTGTAGCAAGGGAGCATTGGCGGTAAGGATGGATGAGCCAAATGGTATCAAGGTCTGCTGCATCTCTAACTGCCGGGTAATTTATTATATCTCAAACCGCCCTGGCTCGGGAACCTTCCTGAGTTCAGAAAAAAGAAGGGCCATTAAGGGAAAGTTGGTCTGTCTTCTTTAGAAAATGTACTATGTCGCAAGAGTTTGGGAAGAGCTAGAAATCATTCATTTCAAATTGAAGCAAGTGAGAGGTTGCCAGAGACTTTAAAAAATATATTCTGGTTTATGTTATTTATTGATTTATTTTGCTTGTTATTTGGAAATGCTCCACCCTCAAAGAGTTGAAAATAAATTTCTTCACTAATTTATGTATTTCAACTCCACATTTGAGAGTCAGTTGGTAATTTCAGATTCTATGAAACATTAGAATTTATATACTGACTAGAAGCATGGAGATCAGCGTGTCTATCAAAGAAAACCTGTGTTAGCTGGATTGGCCCGTTCTTACTGCTTCTGAATAGGAATGCGTGTGTGTTATTATAGCTTTGTGCTTTTATAGAAAGAATCAGTTGGGTGGGTATTATTGTATGACCTGAGGGCAGCTTAGATAATATTTTCTATCAGAATGTGTATTATGGGTGAAAACAATAGTTCTCATACAGTATTTTTAAAAGGGTTATTCTGTTCCCAACATTGGTGACTGTATGGCTTTGGGAGCTCCGTATTAAGGGGACTAATTGCGCTGACTGGACCCAGTCCACCAGCCAGCCAGCATGGGCGCCTCGTGGTGCAGGGCTTGTTGGTATCGCAGAGTTACAGGAGACTGTAGAGAACTGTGTTGATACTGTTAGTTAATTTCTTGCAGGAGTAAATTTCTTACCTCAACATATTATTTTGAAATAATTGTGATAATTACAAAAATTTTCACTTAGTGGGAAGACAATAATTGAATAAATGTGTTTCTTGGGCTTTTGAAACTCAGCTATGACAATTGTTTATAACTAGTGTTATTTTATTTTATCCAAAATTAACTGTATAGAAATAAAAGATGGCTGGTGATTATCTCTGTAACAGCAAGTGCCTGAGGGAACTTGTGATGTTCCAGAGATGTGACTATGTGATGAGACTTATTTTATCATGAGAGATTAGAACTGTGTCCAAATGATCATTATCTCTTTGAAGATATTATAGGGGATTATGTATTCATTGGCATAACATCATAGACTACTTGAACTGGCCAGAGAACATTTAATGTGCCCTCTCTTTTCAAATAATTAAAAACCCCAACTAAACCCAAAGTTAAGGTGTTCTAATGTTGCTGCTATGGCTTTAAATGTTTTTGAGATGTCAGGCCACTGATTGGAAAGCTGTCCTCAATATAACACCCCATTTTTGATCCAATGGGTTTTTAGACAATTTAATCACTTTTAAAAAAATCTCAAAGTGAGATATAAATGGTTCTGAGTAATCAAATGAAATAAAGCTATCCTAAAATGATAAAAGAAAATTGACTTCACTAGGAATTTTGAAAACTTCTGCTTTAGTTTGTAAAGAAAGAATTTTTAATAAATATTTATTTTTTGGAGCCTATTGGGATAATTGTACAGTCATCCAAGGAAACTAACAAAAATACTCAATTCTACTTGTTAAAGGGTCCACCGTAGTAGCATAAATTTCTTCTGCCATAGAAAGTAGGTTTGAGTGCTGCAGCGAGCCAGGCCACCCTTAGAAAACCTTCTAGTCTACACAGGGTGTCCGTCAGTCTTTGGACTTGTACCTGGTTCCAGCTGCATCTGCAATTTCCTGGGCCCGTAGCCTCTTCAGCAGCCAGAGAGCAGGTCCCCTGACATTTCCTCTGGCTCCACTCTGCACAGAGCAGGTGCTAGACCATGCGTCCGCTTTAGAAAAATAACTTCTGGATACAATGTTGAGATGAGAATCCAAGTGGCAGATAGAAGGTTGGATGAGATAACTCTTCAATTCTCTTTTGATATAATAGCAGGCTCAGAAATTTCCTTCCTGACCAGTGATAGTGTTCTAATGGTCTGCTTCTCAAATTTTTAAAAATATGTTTTACATATTATATGCAGCTTTGTCTGTACTGCAAAAAGCCAACCCATTCTGTGGAGCTGGTAGTGGAGCCTTTGCTCTGTTAGTGTAAAGCACTGCTATTGGAAAACTCAAGGAAAATATATTAGAATCTGACACTGTGTAGTTTTGAGAGTGCTTCCACTCAACTACTCTGCCACTGGCTTTTTGTAGAGGGCTCATTTGCATCCTGCCATCTCTGCTGGCTTCTCTCTACACTGCCTGCTCCATCCCTCTGCAGGGGATCCAAGACAGCAAAGAGAAGTGGGAAAATGCAGAGGAAATATTTCCAGTAGGACCACCCTGGCTGGTGTGGCTCAGTGGATTGAGTGCTGGCCTGTGAACTGAAAGGTCCCTGGTTCAACTCCTGGGCATAAGCCAGGGTTGCAGGCCAGGTCCCTACCTGATGGATGTTTCTATCATACACTGAACTTCCTCTCCCTCTCTTTCTCCCTCCCTTCCCCTCTTTCCAAAAGCAAATAAATAAAATTTAAAAAAATAAATGTTTTCAGTGGGGGAACATTTGAAGCTATTGGTTAAAGTAAAGATTTGCAAGGAGGAGCGGGCCTCTGAGTTGAGGACCTCTTTGGTACCCGGGCTTCAGCCACGAGAGGACTCCCTGTGCGTGGCTCCCTTCCTCAGAAGCGCACAGGGAGGGGGGGCCATTTGCAGCCAGCCTGCCACGGTTCTGCTCAGCTGAAGCTTCTCTCTTACTTCTTTTTCTTTTTCTTTTTTTTTTTTCAGTAACTGCTCTAAAGGATCTCCCTGGAGAAAAGAAGTATGAAGTGGTTTATCCCAGAAGACTTCATCAACTCCGTGAAAGAGAGGCCAAGGAGCCAGAACAGCAGGTGCAGCTATTTGTTTAGCAGAAATGAAAAGAACTTGAAAAACTATATTTAACATATCAATACAGATACACATATATACACACATTTATGTCTATTTTTGACCTATAATATGTTTATTAACATTCAAAAATGCAACCTTACTTTGCAGATTAAGGTTCTGACAAACTGTCTAAGGTCATAAAGAGAGTAAAATTTAACATTCTTATGGTAATATATAATCTATTCTGTGTATTCCCAAAGAAATTTGATGCAATTTATTAGTCATATATCTATAGACACACAGGCAGACAAAACCATGAACATTAAAACTGAAGTAGAAATAAAATGTTGTAAATGAATGTGTGCATATATGCACATTCAATTAAGATTACGTACTATAATTAAACATGACATTTACCTTTGTCTTTTTTTAAAAGGCAGGCAGCTATTCAAGTTTGTATAAATCTTACTACTTAATGAAATGACACATTCTCAGTCAACAGAGGAAAGAGGAAAGCTACAACAATGATTCATTCAACAAGGAATTTCTGATTACCTACACCTGGAACTCTTCTGCAAGGAGCCAGGAAAATCCAATCAAATGAGACCTAAATAATATCTTGCATCCATCTACTGTAAGATGCAACTCACCAGACAATGTCCCACACCGTTCTTCACTGAAAATTGGGAGAACAATTTGAATACATGTCCAGTGTTTTTCATCAGTTATATAGTGAGTTCTTCACAACTGTAAAAATACATTTAAGCTCTGGAACAGTTTATTTGGATGAAAAACCATAAAGTAATAACTACTTTAACTACAATAACTGTCACATACTGGATGATCAATCAATTTGTGAAATGAAGAGATGGATGCCGTTGATACAGTAGGCTTGATATTTATTGAAAATACCTGTTTATCTAGTCTACTATTCTGAGAACTGGCTGTATGAGACATAGGTGAAAGTGTAAGGGATCTGAGGGCTTGTTTGTGTCCATGTCTTAGCTTTGTTCATTCTCCCTGGGTAAATTTAGGTACATACGGACTTCAAATTCTTTGTCTGAAAATTGAGCTACTAATAGTCCTGTTTATCTTTCATGGCAAAGCAAGGATGCTGTAATTATTCTCTGTTCAGGAAGATGCTATGATGCTAACCTATGTAACCCAGTCATGTTCCACTTCAAGGTGCTTTGTGCTTAATGCTATGGCTTGTTAAGCCATTTTTGTTGTCTTTCTGCTTCTCAACATAATCCCCTTTTTAGTCCTAGGTATTCTTAAGGCCTTTTATTATGATACCCTTGCATAACTGTAGGCCCTTTCTTTTGGAGTTCTCGCTACTTCAAATGCTCTCTCTGCGGGTGAAGCTCAGGTTGTCCTTCATTTCTTGGGGATAGATAGATCCCTTTTCTGAAGGCCTGCTTTCACACAGTCAGAGTAATACCATTTGGTCTTGATGTTTTTTTAATGTTGATTTTATTATAGGGGTGGAGTGTGTGTGTGTGTGTGTGTGTGTGTATAATTTTCTCTTCTGGGCTTGAAATGCTGAGGGCAATAAACGAGTGTTTCCCATGTCTTCACCGTGCCTTTGTCCCCCTTCAACCCTCATCTCTCAGTCCCTGTCCTGTACATTTAGCAAACAAAATCACAGGATACCTGCTTAAATTTGAATGCCAAATAAACAAGTTATGTTTTGCACTATTATTATTCTCAAATATTGTACCCAACATGCTAAAATTGCAAATGTGTTCACTGTTTATCTGACATTCTAGTTTAACTGGTGACCTGGATCTTGCCCAGCAATCATACCATGTGGCTTCTGTTATCTCCTTGTGAATATGCAGAACTACACTAGAGACATCTCTCTCTGATTCCAGCTCTTGTCCCATCTGCATAGAGAAGACCCCATGCTGCCGCACATCTGATGTTTCAGCCCTGCCCTGTCAGGGCCACTGAGTTCTGCATATCACACTCGTCTGCCAAACCTAAGCCTAGTGGTGTTCTTACCTGCCACACAGCAGGCATATGCTTCCCCCTGACGTAGAATGCTCTCTTTTTGCTCAGGTACAGAGCACGACTTATAACAACACTGTCTTACAGGTATAAGCCGAGGTCTTGGAAGTTATTTTTGTGGTTTCTTTATTGAGACTATTGTTATACTAGAAAGCTCCAGAATTTATAATGCATGTGATAAAGAGGATCTCTGTATCTCAGCGGTGCGGCCTCACTCTCCATCTAGATTAATCAGGTTTCAAGGCCTCCTGGGCCCTTGTACTTGTCATTACACAGCTGTGCCCTGCCCTGGACTGGAGACCCAGGCACCAGTGTCACCTGTTCATGATGCCACAGTCATGGCTCCATTTTTCTAACTTCAACACAACTGGCCATGACTTACAATTTGTTTTGGAATGAAACAATCTTCTGACAAACTTTATGGAAGGCCCACTAAACACCAGGATAGAACTTTGAATGTTTTATTCATGATTGCACATTATATTCTTGATTTGTATTTAAATGCATGGCACAGGGAAACTAAACAAGGATTTGAGTAAACGAGCAAATGGATAAGCAGAGAAATGGACAAACGAATGAAGGAGTGTAACTGGAGTGCATTTCCCATAGAGCTACATAAACACGTACTCAAAAAATAATTAATCAAGTTCCCTGATGTTGGGAACTTACCTTCCAAAGGTAGTCACTGTTCTTTCTAGAATTCAGCCTCTACTTCACACACTTCCTTGGAGGCCAAAATCATCTTGCTTTTGGCTCATGCCATAAACTAGAGTGTGGCAGCATGATGCTGCCCCTTTTTAGGAACAATGGCAGGCTACCAGGGTTTGTGGAGGTCTTGGATTCTCTGTATGTTATGGCAAGACTTGGATTAAGATCTTCCCTGGGGGTTTCCTTTGCTATTCCCTGTGTGCCTGGGGGCAGCATCCTGACTTTACAGATCTGCTCCCATTCAGGACCATGGCCTTCCTAGTCCACTCCTTTAACCTTGCCCAAGGCATTGCCTTCTGGGGAAAATTTGCATATATTTACATCTTTGACCAGCTAAACTAACGCAATAAACTCCACCTCATTTCCTTCTAGTGGATGTTCTACAAACCAAGGAGCATTTCTCCTCTCCTAACCCCTAGTTCAGAACCCAGATAGAAAATAGGCTGGACACACTTCTTATTGAGCAGGCATTGCTCTTCACCTTGGATCATACTTGAAGTACAGTCATGCCCTCCCCCGGGGCACCCTGCTTCAGAGAAACTCTGGTTTTCTTCACTGCTGTTTCTTCTCATCTATAATCTCTATTCTAGTGTTAGCCAAACCTTCCACTCCAAAATCGATGGCTATTTTCTAAATCAGGCTCCAGGTAATATTTTTAGGTGATGATCTACTAAAACTCCATTGCTAATAGAAATAGATATCTGGAAGGCTTTTTTGGCTAGGAGTTCATATCTTGTATCCCCCCAGTATTTTTATTCTATCTAGTTTTTCTTAAACCTGAATAATAAGTGATTATAGTGATTCCCTGTGAATTTTGTTTTTCACCCTTACAGTTTATTTTGGAGCTGCTGTTATTCATGAAAATGAAGTAATTTATAGTAGCCTGAGTCCATCTAGGCCCACGCTGTAGGATATTTATGGTCGTGGACTTTTGACCCCAGTGAGGACACCAATAATTGATCATTAAAAGGAAATAGGAATAAACATAGCTGACCTTGGAGATGGCAAACCTCTGTGTGGTACCCCTGACCTGATGAGTCTAATGCACTAGTAAGTGTCCCTTGATAAGCTCGCATACTGTTCTGGCCAGGAGAGGGATGAGAAGAAAAGCTGGGCCTCAGGTGCAGCCTAGGGATTGTTTTTGGTCGTGTTGTCTGCCGTATGTAGATATCTTTAACAATGACCTGGCACTTCCCAGTGAATGTTTAGATGTTGGGTGTAATCAGGCTAATAACCTAGTTTTATGGAACAAAGTCAAGACTAGGTACCCAATAAGATCTTCTGCGTAGTCTTCTATAGCTCCTTCTATATATAAGAGGTCTGTCTGGAAAAAGTCCAGCCATTGTTAATTTAACGAGAATGGTTTGTGCGACATTGATGCAACCTGGCAGCTAATGAGAGGGGACTGGAACACACATGCATGAACAATGACAACTTCACTGTGCTAGTCAGTGTGGGTGGCAGACGCCATTGAATGAGCATATGTACTATGTGGTTTTTGCATTCAGAATGACTAACTAGATTCAAAATTTGAATCTGCATTCAAAATTTGCATTAAGCTTGAACATTCCTCCATGAAAACTATTCAGATGATTCAGAAGGCTTTCAGGGATGATGCAATGAGTGAAGCTCAAATAAAAGTGTGGTTTACAAATGTTTCAAACATGGTTGAGAGTCTATTGAAAGTAATACATGTTATGGAAGGTCTGCAATGAGCAGAACACTTGAGAATGTTGAATATGAATGGGCTGCAATCAACAGAGATCGGTGACTGACAGTGCGAGAACTAGAAGCTGACCTGGAGATTTTGAAAACTACTGTGTTCAAAATTTTGACTCATAATCTTGGCATGAACATATGGTGGCAAAATTTGTTCTGCAGCTTCTGCTACCAGAGCAGAAGGAACATCATACTGAAGTCGCTGATGACTTGATTCGAACTGCTACCAATGAACCAGATTTCCTCAAGAAGATCATAACTAGAGATGAATCATGGGTCTATGGCAATGATCTGGAAACAAAGGCCCAGTCATCCCAATGGATGGCGCCTGGTTCTCCACACCTGAAGAAGGTGCTGCAAAGTTGCAGCAAGATCAAGACCATGTTAACTCTGTTTTTTGACTGGGAAGGTGCCCCCCCCCGCCCCACTTTGAAGGGGACTGAGGCATAATTATCCTATGTAAAATGTTTCTTGTATCTTGTATTGCCTTCAATAAATGTCACTATTTTTCACAGTAAATGGCTGGCTACCTTCTGGACAGAAGTCATATAAATCTAAACTTAAACCAGTTCTTCTATTTGACATGGTTTACTTGAGGTGATGTTTTTTTCTTTATTCCTGATGACTTCTTCCTGCCTTAAGGTATATATTCCTGTTATTTTGCCCATATTCTGACTCCCATTGAGCCTGAAGAAGATCTCACACTAAAAATCACCAGGGAGAGCCTCAGAGGTCTTTGGGTCTATGTGTATACTATTCCTTCTTCTCAAATACCTTCCCCACCCGGCTTCACCTGGCTAACTCCTGTCTCAGCTTGTACATTCCTTCCCCAGGAAAGCCTTTCCTTCCTTTAGGATGTTAGACACCCTACATTGCTTCCATCTTTATATTATTCATCATACAATGTAACATATTTATTGTCTGTCTTTTTATATGATAATATGCTTTATGGAAGCAGATCTCATTTTTTGTTACTTCAAGTTAAATTTCCAGAACCAAACCATATCTTGCAAATAACTAGCACCCAAATAGTATTTGTAAAATGCATAGATGGATAAATGAATGGATAGATGGGTAGATGGATGGATATACAGGTCTCAGAGATAATTTATCTATTTAGTTTGATTTGTTAAAAGAGGCAGCAGCAGACATTTAGCATTAAACAGATTACTGTTAAAGAAAAAACAGTCATTGCTTGCTAGTGATTAAACAGATAGGACTAGCAAAATGAATATTTGTGTGTGTTTTTAATTACCAGCAAATGTTTGTGCATTTTTGCAGGAAAAATTTGAAACTGAACTGAAATATGAAATGACAGTTAATGGAAAAATAGCAGTGCTTTATTTGAAAAAATCCAAGTAAGTGTCTTTACTTCTGATATAACCCTCACCAACAGCAAGTCAGCAAGTGGGAAGTGTGGTAGGGAGTCTGCTGTTTCTTATGGCTCACAGAAACCTCGTAGACCTCAGTTAGCCAGCTTTGGCTCTCAACTGGCCCAATAATATTTCTTCCTACTGAAGTTGTAGAAACACACTGGGTAAAACAACAGTTTACAAGTATTTTGATACTTCTAATAATAAAATGATGAATGAGGTACAAGTAGACACGCATATTATCAAACTCTATAAACTAGCTATAGATTTTTAACTGTTCCCCTACATTATTCCATTTTATTATTCTAGCACTGAAAGATTAGATTTTAAAACAACTTATAAGCATTTTCATTGGGAAAAAATACAAAGACATATAAATTAAATAAACTCCAGGGCCAAAGAAGCAGTCCGTGGTAAAGCCAGGGCCGGGCTGTCTCGACTCCAACGCCAATGCCCCTTCCGCCCAGCTGCCCGCTGACCCGGCAGTCTCTCTCGCATGTTACACTGGGATCTCACTTTGTCACACCCTTCATCCTGTTCATCAAAAGTCTACATTCCTTTTCAAGTTTCACGGCCTTAATTCTCACCCAGATATGTATCATCCTCTATCTACGCTATTTCAAAAATAGCTTTTCCTAACTTGTGCTTTCAAGCTCCTTGAGTCCCTTAGTTGTTCTATATAGGACAGCAAGATAGACAAACATACTGTCACCTCCTGCAAAAAATCACAACTGATTGGATTCAAAAATTGTGTGGTGTAATGGAAGTAATACAGACTTGGGGTTAAGGCAGACCTAAATATAATGTTATGCCACTTGTATTATTTAATCTCATTTGAAAAATAAGTAGAATAATATTTACCTTGCAGGATGGTTGAAAAGATTATATTAAATGACTCCTGTAACAGGTCTAACCCAGTGAGCAGAATAGGTACAGCATTTAATACATATAAGTGACTTCCTTTTCTCTTTGCCCTACATCTTTTAAAAGTATATTCAGGCTCCTATTTTCTGGAGGGAGACTGAAAGAATTTTAAGAAGCTTGGCAGAATGATGGAAGGGCCCTAACTACCCAATGCAAGTTGATTTTCAATAAACTTGAAGAGTCACTGGTAACTAAAGGGGCTAGGTGGAAACACAATGATCTTAAACTGGTGAGGAGCATTGCTCTTTTCAGACTATTTATTTTACCCACTTTCCCCTTCTCGATTTCTTTTCCTCCTCAAATCTCTCCTCAGACCAGCATGCGCAGTCTGGTGGTGAGCAAGCAGATACTGTCCCATACCACTCATGAAGGTTCCTGCCCCTGTCGCTCTCTCCATTTTAAGCAACCCTTTTGTGCTGGAACTTGTTCTCAGACGTTTGGAGGAGTTTAGGAGTTAAAACTTGACTGCTCACCAGTGAAAGCACTTCCTTTGATCACCGAACTTTGCAATCGGCATGAGTAATCCTGACTTTTGCTTTTTCTCCAGGGACTTCCTTGCACCGGGCTACGTGGAAACACACTATAATTCCTCTGGAAAGGAGGTCACCACCAGCCCACAGATCATGGTAAAATACAGTGTCCCAAACAGTGTTAATTGGGATTTGACCCACACATCCAAATGCAATGTCATTGCCAAACAAATAGGACAAGAGAAGCAGCATTTATGGCATTAGTACTTTATTTAGTAGTCATTTCTTAATCAACCCTCTGTCATTTGGAGAGTTAGACAAAAACAAAGTCACTCCTTGACAACCATGGTAACCCTTTCCAGCCTCAAAGTTGTCCCTATAGGAGAGTGGACAGAAGGAGCTTCTTATTTTCATTAGAAGTTGGAAGAATCACATACCACTGGTGTTCCTAGTTAATGCCTGTCACCTCTCTAGATCATGTAATCTCTCAAACTCAAGATCATTTTCTCAATGGCAGAATTGTAAAATTCCGTATTTTCCTTAAACAATTCCCACTCTTCATTTTTATTTCAGAGAAGATGACTCAGCGTGACATAACACAAAGTTATTTTAACATTGCCTCCTTTTCAGAAGTCTGTTTTCTATTGAAAAGCCTTCACACAGTCTCATCCATAAAATTCTGCAGTCACACATGGGTGTACATGGGCTAATACCTCATCTCTCCCAAAGTAGAAGGGTTTACCTGACAGAAGAACATACACATGAAAAAGGGTTTTGCTCCAAATGGAGGCAGGGGATGCAGCACTAACCCACTTTGTTGAAACTCTTGGGATAAATAAGGAAATATTAACAGAATCTGAATAACACACTCATTGGAAATAGCTAACAGTTGTTAGAAAAAAATTAATGAGCAATCAGTTGAGGGAAAGAAAAAACTTCAGCCCCAATGCCTGGTGTTTGGGGCGCTCAGGTGAAACGGTGCATAAACATCCGTCTGTAGGTTGGTTTCCTCCAGACTCTTCACTCTGTTGTCCTTTCTCTGCAGCACCACATTCACACCAACATTTAGTTAACACTTCGTAGACATTTGAGATCATCCACTAAATAGTAAAGATTTTAACCATAAAAAACTTTAAAAATGCTTTCAATATCCCTGAGTTGACTGCTATTCAGCATAAAAATGATTAAAAAACATTATAGATCCTATTTCAAGATTTTAAGTTTAAGTGTAGCGTGGGTCTAAAACACATGTGCACTCTCCCTTATAAGCCCCCTTTTCTCTTTTCTTGAGGATGACTGTTATTACCAAGGGCACATCATTAATGCCAACTTTTCTGAAGCTAGCATCAGCACGTGTCGGGGGCTCAGGTAAGACTTCATGATGGCTTGTGTGTGTCTTTGATGGTGTGTGTATGTGTGTGTTTAATAAAACTAAAGAATATCAAATATACTTAGTCACACCTAGATGAATGTGAATTCTAAGGGCTAAAAGTTTTGAGGTTTGAAGAAAACATGGCTCCTGTTGATAGTAGTTTATAAACGACATACCACAACTGCTTTCTGAGTTGGCTTTTGTTTAATTGTTTGCTTGTTTTCAAAATAGAGGCTTTGAGTCTCTGTTTTAAAGTCAGAACTTTTGGAATGACAGCTCTTCTGCACCTTCTCTCTTCCCTCCACAGTCTCCAGGTTGACCTACCCATGCCTGTTAGAGCCATTTTTCCTCTGTGTTAAGGGCTCCCTGGGTGTCCACCAACAGTAGGATATACAGACTTCTGATGCTCAGACTTGATTATCTCATTTTCCCTTTCATATCTCCATATTTTGTCCATATCTGAATATCTCAATGAAATCTCAATCAAGCTAATGATTTTCTCCAAAATCTGGTATCTTTCCAGTGTTCCTTATCTTAGTGAATTGTATAATCAACCCAACCACTGGCCCAATCCAGAAACCTAAGTTCTTGATGACTTATTGCCCATCAGCTACCCATTTTCAATCCATTATCAAGCCTTATTGTTTATATGTTCAAATATTTTCTGAGATTATTCACTGAGATTATTCTGAGATTATTCACATTCTCTCTCTACTGCTACATCCTATTCAAATGAATGTGATCTTTATGCAGACATTGTAATAAACCACCTTATTTATCTCTCCACACCCCCTCTGATCTGTTCTGTTAATTCTATGTATACTTAATCCAGTTGCCTGTCATTTGTTCTTTTGCTCTTTCTTCTTAGAAATTACCTGCTCTAATTACATATATTACATAGCTGTCATATGATTATATACTTGTGATTCAAATGTGATTGTTTAATCTACATCTGTCTTTATTATTTGAGTATAAGCTCTAAGAGAGGAGAAACCATGACTCTTTTTCCTGTCTGCCTTTAGTCTAATGCTTAATGAATGATGTGTGGTTGTTAAATTTTGGTTGAATGAAACTTAGCTTGGGGCATCAGCAGAAATAATTAAGATGAAATTGGTATTTTCCATTTATTATGTGCTTTCTCTATTATATCCTTCCTTTTTTATAACCATCCTATTGTAGGTATTGCTATTCTTATTTTATGGATGGAAAAACTGAAGCTATGTGAGTTTAAGTAATTTCCCATGGTATCACCACTAATAAGTGATAGAGCCAGAGTTTTAATTCTCATTTATAAGACCCCCAAATCTCTATCATGTTCAGTACACCTTGAGTGCAGACCAGGCAAGGGAATTGGAAGAGCACTGGACCAAGAGTCAGGAAATTTCATCCTAGTGCAAGCTCTGACGTAGGTTAGCTGTAAGATTACAGTAGTCACTTGTTCCCAAAAGGCTCCATTTCCTCATGGAGAAAATAGTTTAGCTCTTCTCTATGGGGATCTTCAGCTGTAATGCTGCACTGCCCTCGGCTGCCATGAGCTTGGAATGTTTTTGCTATGTTAACTTTCTGGAGTCTCTCAAATACAGCACTCAGATGCAGGAATAATTCCTCAAGAAGCCTGTCTTCTCATGTTTTTCAGGGGCTACTTCAGTCAGGGAGATGAAATGTACTTCATTGAACCTTTAAGCCCCACAAACCGGGATGAACAGGAACATGCACTCTTCAAGCATGATCCCAAAGCAAAGAAGACTAATGCCACCTGTGGGATGGTTGACTTGCCATGGGCACATGTGGCCCTACCTGCCACCAGTCTGGTTGTATGCATACCTTTCTCTTTTATTTGGAATGGTCTCATGCATCCTGTCCTGTCTGTCCTGAGTTCCAGTGTTAGCAACTGCACTTTACTGAAATTTTGTAGTCATTGTTCAAACTAGTCGGTTAGGGAAGACATTAAAACCTTGTTGTACATTGATTGCTTTATTTAGTACATATTTATGAGTCAGCTACTGTGAACAATGATGTGCTAGTGCTAAAAAAGGAGTGTAAGGCTTGTCCTCTAGAGCAGGCAACTTTCACTATACTGCAACATACAATGGCGTCAAGTATTATTATTATTTGATATAAAATATCCTACAGTCTTTATGAATGAACTCATTCAACAAATCTTTCTTTTAGTACTGCCATAAGTGCTGGGATGTAGCAGCAAACCAAATAAATACAGGGTCTTACAGGATCTGTCCACAGGAACTTAGAATGTGCTTTCATTTATGGAATTCAGCTTCCAGTCACAGAAGAGTCATCTCTTATAAAAGTTTGTAAACATTTCTCTATAAATAAATGTCTATAAACAGTGGACAGAATTGGTTTGAATAAAATAAAATTGTTGTTGGGTTCAACTGGCTGGGTGTTTAAATGCTACCAGCCAGAAGAACCGCTCTTCGCTATATGAGTGTTGACCTTCATCTCTGTCTCACTTCTTTGCTAACCTTGTGCAAATAAGCATGTGCAAATAACCATGCTTCCATGACATTGTTTTGTTTGTTTGTTTATTTGTTTGTTTGGTTTGTGGTTTCCTCCTGTCTCACTGGTGCTGTGCCTTCTCAGTTCTCCACTGGGTGACCATAACTATTAGAGGTTCCTGGTACAACTCAGTCCTGGGTCAGTCCCATTCTTTGCTTTATCTACACATTTCTTCCCGGTAATCTTATCCTTCTATGTCTTATTTAAACAGGAGCTCTGCACTAATCACTATCAAATATATACCTCCAGCCTTGGACTCTCCTTTGAAGGCCTGAATGTTAATAATTAACTGTCTACTTCATGCATCCATTGGAATGTTTAATATCACAAACCTAATGTGGTCAAAATAGAACTATTGATTTCCAAACCCCCAACAAAACCTGCTTCTCCCTCGTTCCCCCTGTTTCAGTACACCCATTCGTCATGTGCTCAGGCTCAAATCCAGAAACCGCCCTTGATTCCTGCTTTGTTCACCCCTCTTCATATGGTTTCCAGCAGCCAGTGCCTCCACATAGTCCAGATCTTTCACTTTGTCCACTCTTCCCAACTGCCGCGCAGCACCATCCCTCTCACTGTACCCACTGCGATGTCCTCCACCCGACTTCCCACTCCCGCTCCTGCCTCAGTAGAATCCACCTCCACACGACGGCTGGAGAGATTCTTTGATTCTGATGCACTTTTCAGTTTAAAACCCTTTAATGGCTTCTCATTGCGTTTAGTACAAAATTGAAACAAACAAAACAAAATGAAAAAAACTTGACCCTGACTTGCAGACCTCTGCATGACTAGGGCCTCAGCTACCTCTCCAATCTTCCCCATCTCCTACTCATCATCCAGCAGTGACTGCTCTGCTCTGTTCTGACAGACACAGACTCCTGCTGTACTTCACACATGCCAACATCAATTCACCTTGGAGTCTTTTTTGTGCATTTTTTCTTTGCTGGAATTATCTTTCAATTTATCTCCCTTTGACCTCCCTTGTTTTCATTAATATGTCAGCTTCAGAGACAGCACTTTAGAGCTTTTAATAACCATCTATTCTGAAATGACTACATTTTCATGCAATCTCACACCACACTGTTTAACCCTCCACGTAGCACTAATGCCTGCTGGCTATCTTCGTGCTTATTTGTCTATTGTGAGCTCCCTAAGCAGACCAAGCAGGTCTGTTTCACTGCTGTATCTGCAGTGCCCAGAGCCTTGTTGCTGCACAGGAAGTGCAAACAAATATATTGCTTCCACGGAGGGTAGGAGGTGAGTATATCTCTCCTTAGAGAATATCTAAAAGTCTATCTTCTGTAACCTGTTCCTGTTAATGGTCGCTTATTTACCTCTTAAAAGGCAAGTACTTGTAGAAAAGCAAGATAATAAACTTTGATGATTTATTATTTAGTAAAAATAATATCTGCTATTTTTTCAATGGGCTAATCCACTATAAAACATGTCATTTTGTTGTTACTGTTTTGTTTTATTTTATTTTATTTTGTGTTGTGGAAAGGAAGGCAAAATATAGGGAAGCTATACATGTGGGAAAGAGACCCAGCTCTTCCAAAGAAGAGAAGAGCAGACTGAGAGCTGTGGTGACTTTGGGCGTTGCCCATTGGTCACTGGTAGGGAGGGAGTGTTCACCAGACCAGGCATAAAAGGACACTAAACAGAAACTAGAACAGCAACAGCAAACACTAGGAGGACGCTGAAGTCAGTTTGTTTCATAGCAGGACAGTGCAGCAAGTACATGGTTCAAACACATCTGAAGGCTTCAGTTTTAATTCAAGCACTCCTCTTTATTAGTTGTGTAATCACTTAAATTCTTTGGTAAAATAAAAGGGTCAGGCTAGACTATCACTTCTAACTCTGACATTCTGAGACTTGCCTATAGATGATTCTGGCTGATTAATTAGAATTAAAATAGTAATCCTGTCATTCTTTATTCCTAGATAACAACCAATCACCCACAAAAATCACACATTTCTAATGAAAGAACAACTCTTGCAGAGAAAGAATTTGTCTTAGTAATATTTCTTTTTATATTTATTACAGAAATTAAATGATCGGAAGGTTCAGGAACAAAAGAAATATGTAGAATATTATTTGGTCCTGGACAATGGTGAAGTAAGTGACATCAGATAAATGTATCTTTTATAACCCCTTTCTACCTAAATTATTATATGAGATATTAACTATGTGGATTAGTTTTAAAACATCATGACTATGAGCTATTTTTTTTATAAATTGTTCTGAACCTATGACATTTGACTTAAGTTAGACTAGTGTGATTTCTTCTTTTCAGGATGTACACAATCTGACATGGATACACTGAATTTTTTTGGCTGTCTTAAGAACTCCAAACTTAGTTTCCAATTAAATTTCTTTGTCATTTTGATTTCTGTTAACTCAGTAAATCATTGGTAAATTAGATTGTGCTCATAAGGGAGCATTAAACGTGAAAGACTAATGAATGGAATCTTCTGAAAAAGCACTTTTTGGTAGTTTCCATTGTTTTTCTTCTTTGTGAGAATGCATTTTTATATACTAGTGTTCTAAACCTGAGAATATGATTCAGTTAATTAGTTCAGGCCCAAAAGCTTGACCTCAATGATCATACTAAATTCATTTACTGTTCATATTTTTCTAATGAATAAGCTATTTCTCATGCTGATTCTGTCTAGTTTAGGAAATTATGTTATCTAACTGAAATGCACTTGTAATAATTCTTTCACACTTTACACTGAGCTAGTTCTTTAGGGGACAAGACATCATCTTGACTCTTAAAGCACTTGAATTTAGAGAAATAAGAAAGCACTTGTTTCTAACCTCTAACTTTTATAACTGATCGTGAATTATAACCACTGATAAGTAAAATAAACTGAAGATGCCTTTTTACCTTCCCGTTATGTTCCTTTCCACTAATGCCCATTTTTTTTGTCTTGGTTGTCTTTTAGTTTAAAAAGTACAATCAAGATCCAGAGAAAATAAGAAACAGGGTGTTTGAGATGGTCAATTACGTCAATATGGTATGATGTATTTTATTAAATGTGATTTTAACAATTTGCTAGACGGTATCATTGGATGTTGCTATGAATACCCATGAAGCAGGGACAGAAAGTCAATAGTCTTTAGACTAACACTTCTGACTGGCTCTTGAAGGGTGACCACAACTTTTACTAATTAATTAAATATTATTATTATTATTATATGACAGATATATTTCTCACCTCTGTATCACACTATTCACAGCTCATGAAGGTATAAACAGTGTCTGTCTGCATGGTGTATGTTTTTCCAAAGCACAGTAAGAAAATGCTGACAAACAAATCTCAATGGAAAGCCAATCTAAGGAAGAAAATGGAAGAACAAACAAAATAATGGAAACTGTAGCAGAGTAGCGTCTCTTGATACCTTATATCATTCAATCATCAAGTAATGCTAAGAAATTATTCTCTGAGAAGCAAAGTAACTTGTCTAAAATCACGAAGTTAGAAAAAGGTAGAGATAAAATTTGAGCCCAGATTTTAAGCCCATTTTGATTACACAATTGCTGATTCTGTCCTTTAAACATGACTTTATCACCTAGGTTTCAAAATCTTTAAAAAGACTATTTCTATATCCATTCTATTTAAATCTTAACATTCAGTTTTCCATTAGCTGAACATATGGTTAGACTGCTTAGATAAAATGGAAACGTAACTTTGTAGTGTCCTGAAGATCATCTAAGGCAGTGATCCCCAATCTTTTTTTGGCATCGGGGACTTTTTCCATAAACTGGGGTGGGGAGGATGGCTATAAAGCTTGCCACCAGATGCAACTGAATTGTCACTTGCTACTCACTGACTAGGTTTTGATATGCATCTGCAAGCAATTAATTTATTATGGTCTCTGTGCCATCAAACCTCACTGTTAATGATAATCTGTGTTTGCAGCCACTCCCCAGCACTGGCATCACTGCCTCAGCTCCATCTCAGATCCTCAGGCATTAGATTCTCATAAGGGATGTGCGTCCTAGATCCCTTCCATATTCAGTTCATAATAGGGTCGTGTTCCTGTGAGAATCTAATGCCACCCGCCCATCTGACAGGAGGCAGAGCTCAGACAGTAATGCAAGAGGTGGGGAGCAGGTATAAATACAAGTGAAGCTTTGCTTGCTCACCAGCTATTCACCTGCTGTGTGGCCAGTTCCTAACAGACTATGACTGCTAAAGATCTGTGGCCCCGGGGGTTGGGGACCCTAATCTAAGGATAGAAAAAAATGAAGGTGGATTCAGTGACCAGGATCAAATCTCAACTTCTTGCCACAAGGATCATGGTGACTCTTCTTCGGGAAACTCAATAATTGGCCATATTTATTGAGCATCTACTTTGTGCCAGGGACTTTTAGAGATTATGAAAGTAAAGTGGGGAACAAAATGGACAAATATCATTTTCTTCAAGGAGTTTACTTTCTGTTCAGGGATACAAGTGTAAACAAGTTAAGTGAAGAGTATGCTGGATGGTGGTAATTGTTATAAAGAAAAATAAAGTGAAAGAGACAGATTGATTTATCTTGGATAGTAAGTTAACCAAGGAAGGCCTCTCCAATAAGGTGACATTTGAGTAGAGACTTGAAGGAAGGTATGGGAGGCATGCAAAGCAGAACAAAGGACCTGAGTGCTGAATCTAGAATGTCTTATTTAAGAACCAGAGGGAAAGCCGTTGTGGCTGCAGTGAGGCCAGGGCCAGGGTGGGAGGAAATGACATCAGACAGGTGGCAGTGACCAAAATCTGAATGTCCAAGTAGACCTGTGTAAGGACTTAGTTATTCTTCACAAGTAAGGACATTGGAGACCCTGGGGTGTGGCATGATCAGGTGGGTTTTCTTAAAAGCTTATCTTGGCCATTGTGTTCCAAGTAACTGAAGGGAGGCAAGGGCAGAAACAAGATGAGAAGGGGGAATTGTGCCATAATTCAGGCAAGAGAAGATGGTGGTTTGAGAAAAAGCAGTGACAGCAGATTTACTGAGACTATCTGATTGTGAGATGGAGTCAACAGGGTTTGTGAGCTGTGTGGGAGATGAGAGAGAGAGAGAGAGAGAGAGAGAGAAGTCAAATGACATCAAGTGTTTTGACTTGAAGAATGTGGAGTGGGGAAAATGGTAGGACTCGGGATAGGTTAGGGTTTCCATTTTGGACACATTAACATTGAGATACCTTTTTTATAAAGACTTCTAGGTAGAAGTGCTGGAAACTTAAGATTGGAGTTCAGGGGCAAGGCCTGGGTGGAGATATTAATCGGTAAGCCTTCAGTGGATATAGATGGCAGAAGGCATCGGCCAGAAAGCTGTAGCTTATTTGCCAAATCCAGGCTGCATTGTTTTTTTTTTTTTTTTTTACAAAATAAAGTTTTATTGAAACACAGCCACCTTCAATGTTCCCACATTGTCTGTGGCTGCCTTCCTGATACAATGTCAGAGGTGGTGAGTAATTGCAACCCAGACAACATGGCCTCAAAGCTTAAGGTATTTTCTACTTGGACCTTTACAGAAAAAAGTTTTCCCTCCCTGGTACAAGCTCACCAAGGGAGTGGATGTAGTTAAGTAGAAAAATGACCCCCAGACAGATCCTTGAAGTACCTCTTGGCAGAGAGATCAGAATGGAGGATAAGCTGACAGACATGGAGTAGGAGTGAACAGCGAGGTAGAAGAAAAAACATGAGAGAGTTGTTCTGGAAGCTACCTGAAACAAAAATCTATCACAGAAAAAATAACCAAAGATTTTAGATGCTCTGAGCACTGAGGATTGGCCACTGGATTGAGCAAAGCAGAAGTTATTGGTCACCCAACTGACAGTCTCTGTGAAATGTAAAAGTAAAAGCATGATTAGAGTGAGTCCAGAGTGAATGAGAGAAATGAAATTAGAGACAACAAATATGGAAAATTTTTCCTAGAAGTTTTCCTATGAAGGGGAGCAGAAAAATGGAGCATAAATTAGAAGATAAAGGCTTATAAAGAGAATTTTTTTTACCCCCAACCTCCACTGCAAGTGCCAACATTTGCTGTCAATGGGAACAAATTTACCCTTGTAAATTTTTACAAGGGTAAAAATTAGGCTAAGCACTGACACCACCAGGAGTAGGGAGGACCTGCTGGAATACTGTCTTTGATCTGGGAAAAGGAGATCCAGTGCGAGAATAAAGATGCTGCCCCTAGGCTGGCAGACCAGTCATGCATATGCATATCTTAAGAAGGGGCCTCCGGACTGGTTCGAACAGGTGCAGGCCAGTGCCCAGATAGGTGGTAGGAGCTCCATAAGTTCTCTGCTGGTTGCTTCTGTACGGTCAGTGAATTTGAAAGCAGGGGCATGAACTTAAAGTTGTCAAAATTTCCAAGAAAGAGGAGTGGGTATGAAAAATAATGTGCACAGAACGAGTGAATTTTGGAAACTCAACCAGTTTTCTAGAGATTGGAAAAGTCCACTTGAGGTTAGTGGTCATGGCTTCAAAGTGAAGTGGTCAGCGTAGTGTGCTCCCCTCTGTGTTCTGGGCATCGGTAAAGGACAGGCAGTTGGGTGGCAGAGTACAGAGTAGTTTAACCAGGATCAGAGCTATGTCAGGTGACTAAAATAAGACATGAAAATAAAGGGAGGATTTTAATATTGTTAGATATTTACTTCTTTTTTGGTGATAATTGCATTCCTCAATGCTTTTATTATTTTTCCAAACTATTTTTTTTAAAAAGTAATTTGGGTTTCTCAGCAGAATGTTGCCTCATGAGAAAGCCTGTTACTGTGAAATTATTTTCAGCTTTATTGAGATATAATTGGCATATAACTTTGTGTAAGTTTAAAGTGTTTGAAGTATTGCACTGATACACTTATATATTGCAAAATGATTACCATCATAGGTTAGCTAACACTTCCATCCCATCAAATAATTGCCATTTCTTTCTCATGGAGAATGCATTTAAGCTCTACTCTGTCGGTAGTTTTCAAGTATATTATATAATATAGTAGTAGTGTTATATTCTGTGCTATGTGTTTGTTACCCCAGAACTCATTCACAATAAAAGTGGAAGTTTGCATCCTTTGACCAACACTGCAGTTTATAGTTTTGTAAACCATAGAAGCTATTTAAACATTTATCTTTAGAGTTAGCACGTTGTCTTTTAAGCTTAACTTTTTCCTTTAACCTTTAACAAAGGATATTCTTTGTTCAGCGTGAAGTGTTTGGTTTAGTCCAGGTGTCAGAATTTGAGAACTGCTTGCTTCACTGAGACTCCAGGCATAGGGTTTTTCACATAGCATGTTTCTTTTCCAAGGTCCAGATCAATGCCAAGTCAACCTTGCCGAAGTCTGAAATATTATGACTCTCAAAACATTACAAAGCATTTGAGTAAAATACTTAAAGTGAAGTTATAATAATGATCTACCAATATAAAATTGCATTTCTTGAGGTTGCAAGCAGGAAAAGTTTGTCCCAAAAGGACCTTTTATCCCCCAAAAGGAATTTATAGACCTGAAATATCTAAGGCTGCTTGCCTTCAGGAAAGAAATGGTAACTTGCATTTTATGAGTATGTTTGGGAAGAAAGATTTTACAAAGTTGTCGTAAATGAGTTTGAAAATCTAAAGTGCATTGAGAATATTAAACAATAATATCACCATTATAAGTTGATGTTTTGCCATTTATTCTATCTGGACAGGTTTATAAAAAGCTGAATACTCATGTGGTCTTGGTGGGGATGGAAGTCTGGAATGAGGAGGACAAGATAGAGATAACCCCAAATGCAAACTTCACCCTGAATAACTTTTGTAAATGGAGGCGGAGTGTCCTCCCAAGAAGACAGCAACATGATATTGCTCAGTTAATCACGTACGTACAGAGTTCCCCCTTTGTACATTAGGTGGTTTTTAGCTTAAAGCTTTTCAAGGCCCAGCAACACAAGTGGTGCCCCAGGGCACAGGGTAAGAGGAAATGGCTTAACACATACAAGGTTAAAAGTTTAAAATGCATTTATTTGAGTCTTATGTTGAATAAGCTCTTCTTTTTTAAAAAGAAGTTACGGATTTAGCAGTGACTCATAAGTTTGTCTGTTTGATTGGACACACAGAAAAGAAAGACAGGTTTAGAGAATGGCAAGAGGGATTTCGATTTAGCATTTAAAAATAATTGATTAGCTTTAAGCACTAGTCAGGACAAACTTCTAGGATAGAAGAGACATTGAATATTATATTCTAATCATACACCTTTACCATACTGCTGAAATGACTAATTAAAAAACACAGGGGAAATAAATCTAAGAGTTGTAAATTATACAAGAAGTGCAGAGCATATGCCTCAAAAGAAATCAAGAAAATTTGGCTGGGTAGTTTGCAGCTATCTCATACAGAAGGAGGAAGCAAAAAATGACTTAAAATTCTGAATTTCACTTCCTAAGAAAATGATGGGACTCATGGGAAATAGTGGACTAGATTTTGTCAGAATTAATACCCTTTGCTGGTTACCTGGCATCAGCTCACAACCTCCTGATTTAAACTAAGTTTTCTTCATTTATATGACTGGTAACTTGCCTTGTATGGTTGGAGTAGGGGACTGGTTGGTCATCTGTCTGCATAGATGCAGTTTTCATGCGACTCACTTGCCTTGCCTTCAACATGACAGCCTCAGGCTTTTAGACATCTTAGAAGGCAACTAGCTTTCCCCAGAAGAAGCATTCTAAGAGGCCCAGGAGAAAGCTTCAAGGCTTTGCTATGAAACAATTTCAGAAATCACGGTGTCATTGCTGGTTTATTCTGTTGGTCAAAGCAAGTCACAGACCTATCCAGACTCATAGATACGACACAGGATGTAAATACTGCAAAGCTGGCTCATTGGGGGTTATCTCTGAAGAACAGCTGCCACAGTTTCTTCATTTGAAAAGGTGAGTTCCAGAATCAGGGGCCCACCAAAGGAAAGAGATCATTTTTGAAGTTCATGATTTTTCAAGACCTCATACTAGGGAGTAGTAAGAGAACCCAATTCTTGTAGACGGGCTCCAGGGCCATGCTCATGCTCAAACTGTAGTGTACTCCTGTATCTGAAGTGGTCAGATGGGGAGGTACAAATTACAGACAAGATGTCAGATGTATAGATAAAAAAATGGAAATACAATTTCAAAAGTAAATTTTTTTCTTTCTTGTTTTAAAAGATTTTATTTATCGATTTTTGGAGAGAGGGGAAAGGAGAAAGAAAGATAAGGAGAAAAACATCAATGTGTGGTTGCCTCTTGCATATCCCCAACTGGGAACCTGGCTGGACACCCAGTCATGTGCCCCGACTGGGAATCAAACTGGCGACCCCTTTGTTTGCCAACCAGTACTCAATCCACTGAGCCACACCAGCCAGGTCTCAAGAGCAAATTTCTTGAATAGACCAAAATAAACAATCCACGCACTAAAAATATATGATAGAAATAAGTAATTGTCCATTCACTTGTAAATTTAAAGTTTTACTATTACCTGACAAATTAACAAAGATACCTGTAACTATGTATAACCAGGTAGGAACCTTAAAGTCCATATATATTCGATTCACTAAAAAGAAGAACCAAAGTAAATAATTCCATAATGGGGAAAGGTTTTATTTTTATAAATGAGCTAGTAGTAAGATGATTGCAAACAAATGTAGACTCTAGTATTTTTACAAGATAAATTTATAAGAAGAAGATTAAAGCACTATAAATTTTTGAAATATGTATGATGCAAAGTGTCATTTCAAAATAACAAATATCTGAAAACTCCACAGTGAATATAAAGTGGAAGCTCTCTAATTTCCTCATTTTGTGTGGCAAAATGTTTTCCATTTTTGATGTCAATAACAGGAATATATAGGTTCGACACTTTCTGTAAATCCATCTACTAAGTGAATTTTTAAAATGATGTATATTTGGCAAATTTATAGAGAAAAATCTGGGCCAGACTCTTGAACACACAGCAGAAAAAGAGTAACAAATGAGGATTATGGATCCATTACAAGTTGAAAGCAAAAAAAAAATGATACAAAAACCAAAAAAAGAGATTAGAATTACTAAAATATAATTACCAAATATATCATCTGTAAATAAATGCAGGTGGTTCAAATCTCTCTTCAATGGGAAAAATATTTCAATAACATAAAGGACTCGTTAATGCAAATTCTCTCTGAATAGGCCCAAACTCCAAATACTACTATACTTTTTTAGTACTGTATAAAAACAGTACTAAAGGAAAATAAAAGTAAATAACATATGTGACAATACTAATATCAAAATAAGATATATAATATATATATTTTAGATAGATATACCTAGTATATGGGGATATATTTAGTATATCTATCTAAATATATAGATAGATTTGAAGAGATAGATATATCTATCTCTAAGTATTTTAGATAGATAGACAGGCTGTCTGGAAAAAATCTAACCACTATTTATACAATGAAAATGGTTTTCCCAGCATCTGTGTAACCTGGCAGCCAAGGACAGTGGCCTGGAATGCACATGTGTGAACAATGATGACTTCACTATACTAGACAGTGGGGGTGCTAGACGCCATTGGGAGAGCATGTGTACTGTGTGGCTGTCACATTAAAAATGACTAAGTAGAGCAATGACTCTTCATCAGACTTTAGGCCGCAGCAATGGGCAACTGGTGACTGGCAGCTTCATAACAACAACATGCCCAGTGTCATGCAAAGTTTTTTGGTGAAACATCAAATCACTCAGGTGACTCAGCCCCTCGACTGCCAAGATTTGGTGCCCTGTGACTTCTGGCTTTTCCCAAAACTAAAATCATCTTTGAAAGGGAAGAAATTTCAGACTGTTGATGAGATTCAAGAAAATATAAGAGGGCAGCTAATGGCAATTGGGAGAACTGTGTGAGGTCCCAAGGTGCCTACTTTGAAGGGGACTGAGGCATCATGGTCCTATGAACAATGTTTCCTGATCTTCTTCAATAACTGTCTTTATTTTTCATATTAAATGGATGGATACTTTCTAGGCAGACTTGTATATAAAGAAAAACATTTATGAGGACCAAAAAAATCTTTGATTTTCTGAGAAGTGAATTTTACAATGAAAATATAATAATATGAATGACATATATAAAATATTAAAAGTGATTGCATGCAGGTGCTTGGATTTAGGTGATATAATAACTATTGTCTAAGAAAAATGCCTCATCAAATTAAAAAACTGGAGGAAATATTTATGAGTGATGGTTCATAATGTGAGTATCTACATTAACCATTTAGAATTGTGGATTAACTGTCTATAAAATAAAGTTTAGAACTGGAAGTTTTCATATCAATTTCTTTCTTGCAGGACAGTAGGCTTTTCTGGAACAACTGTGGGCCTTGCCTTCATGTCTACCATGTGCACTCCTTATTCTGTTGGTGTCATTCAGGTTTGTTGGAAGATAAGCAACTGGTTTTATGTTCAAGCTTGTCAAAAAGTGTTTTCTGAATCTGTTGAAAAGATAGTATAGTTTTTCTCCTTCAGTTAGTTGGCTTGTGGGTTAACATTGATTGAATTTCAAATGTTGCATCAATCTCGCACACCCAGAAGTAGATCAGCACAATCATGAAGCATTATCTTGTTTATGGAGGTCATTCCAGAGGGGAAAGAAAACACTGAAGTTATGAAAATAATTATTCCAGGCAAGAAGGGGCTGGAAAGAAGTATTCCAAGTCATGAAATCCCAAAGACCTACATCCAAGATTGATCTATCCAGCAAAGCTTTCATTTAGAATGGAAGGGCAGATAAAGTGCTTCTCAGATAAGATCAAATTCAAGGAGTTCATCATCACCAAGCCCTTATTATATACTTAACGGGTGCAAACAGACCAAAAGTGGTTCAAGAAGATCTCAAAGCCCCAGAGCCCATAACTCCAAGTGACGAAGAAATAGCAAAACTTTCAGATATACAGTTCAGAACACTGGTGATCAGGATGCTCACAGAACTGGTTGACTTTAGTCACAAATTAGAGGAACATATGAAGGCTAAACTAATTGAAATGAAGGGAATTGCACAGAAAACCAATAGTGATCAAAAGGAAACTGGGTCTCAAATCAATGGAGTGGACCAGAAAGAAGGAAAAAATGACCAAACAGAAAAATATTAAGAAACAAGAATTCAAAAAAATGAGGAGAGACTTAGGAACCTCCAGGACATCTTGAAACGCTCCAACATCCGAATTATAGGGGTACCATAAGGGGGAAAGGCACAGCCACCAGTGGAAAACTTATTTGAACAAATAATAAAGGAGAATTTCCCCAATCTGGCAAAGGAAATAGACTTCCAGGAAATCCAGGAAGCTCAGAGAGTCCCAAAGAAGTTGGACCCAAGAAGGAACACACCAAGGCACATCATAATTATATTAGCCAAGATTAAAATGAAGGAGAGAATCCTAGAAGCAGCAAGAGATGAGGGGACAGTCACCTACAAAGGAGTTCCCATCAGACTGTCAGGGGATTTCTCAAAAGAGACCTTACAGGCAAGAAGGGGCTGGAAAGAAGTATTCCAAGTCATGAAATCCAAAAGCCTACATCCAAGATTGCTCTATCCAGCAAAGCTTTCATTTAGAATGGAAGGACAGATAAAGTGCTTCTCAGATAAGATCAAATTCAAGGAGTTCATCATCACCAAGCCCTTATTATATGAAATGTTAAAGGGACTTATCTAAGAAAAAGAAGTTAAAAAAACCATGAACAGTGAAAGGACAGCAAACTCACAGTTATTAACAATCACATCTAAAACAAAAGCAAACTAAAAGGACAGCTAGATCAGGAGTGAACCATAGAAATGAAGATCTCAAGGAGGGTTAGCAACAGGGGAGTGGGAGGAGGAGAAGGGGGAGAAGGTACAGAAAATAAGTAGCATAAATGGTAGGTAGAAAATAGATAGGGGGGAGGGCAAGAATAGTATGGGAAATATAGAATCTAAAGAACCTGAGACACATGGTCATAAACTAAAGGGGGGAGAATGGTGGGAAAGGGGTGTGCAGAGTGGAGGGGAATGAAGGGGGGAAATAGAACAACTGTAATGGCATAATCAATAAAATAAAAATTTTAAAAAAAGAAATGTTAAAGGGACTTACCTAAGAAAAAGAAGATAAAAAAGATGAACAGTAAAAGGACAGCAAACTCATAGTTACTAAGAACCACACCTAAAACAAAAGCAAACTAAGAGGACAGCTAGATCAGGAGCAGAACCATAGAAATGAAGATCATAGGTAGGGTTAGCAACAGGGGAGTGGGAGGAGGAGAAGGGGGGAGAAGGTACAGAAAATAAGTAGCATAGATGGTAGGTATAAAATAGACAGGGGGGAGGGCAAGAAAAGTATGGGAGATATAGAATCCAAAGAACCTGAGACACATGGTCATAAACTAAAGGGGGGAAATGGTGGGAAAGGGGTGTGCAGGGTGGAGGGGAATGAAGGGGGGAAATAGAACTGTAATGGCATAATCAATCAAATATATTAAAAAAATAAAAAATAAAAAAAATTCTGGCTTTGTCACCTACTAATTAGGTGACTTTGGGCAAATTTTAAAAAATAAAATAATAAAATAATTATTTAAATGAAAATACCCTAAATTTGAAAGAATATGAAGGTAATCTGGAAAGTCTCTAAACACATTTCCACTTCTCTTAATTTTTTTAAATTTGTTTTTGTCTCCATGTGGGGCGCTCTTACTAGATAACTAGGTTTACAAAATTTATTTCAACAATGATTCATACCAAACAAATTTGGTATGAAACAATATTGTGAATGGTAAGTACTAACTTTTCATCTTACATGGCACAGTGTTCCTTGTGTGAGTCTTATACTGTGCCTTATGAATCTCTCTATTTCATTCTTTGAAATGAAGTAGATAAGGGAAAGAGGTTTCTGTGCATGTGCATTATAAGCAGATTTGTCTCCCTACTGGGAAATTACAATCAGCAAGGATTTTCTGCTGTCGTTTTACTGCTCCCAGGTAACTTGGGCCCCCAGTCCAGTACCTCTAATCAGACACAACCTGGTAATGAAGTTGGCCACTGGCGGGACTTCATGTAATGGGGCAAGTCTGGAATCGACAGATATCTAGTCTTAGTAGTAATAGAGCTGAAAAAAATAGTAATGTACTAAAGTTCTAGCTTAACGAGCTCTTTTAAAGCTCCATTAGTTAAACATATCAGAGCCCTCCAATTGAACTAGAAGATATTAAAAAGAGAGCTGGAGAGAGAGGTAGATTATTTTTTAAATGTTTTTGATTTCTTATCACTTTTGAAGAAATTTTGCCACTATCTCATAAGCAGAACCCCCCCCCCCAAATTTTCTCATTATTTTCCATTCACAAGAACAAAGAACAGGTAATATGTTCTGTGATGGGCATTTAGTACTGAAGTTTTGTAGGTATGTGTGGGGAAAGAGAGAGAGAGGGAGGACAGATGGTGGGTGAGTGTGTTGGGTGCAGCTAAAATCAGTCTCTGTAATCCACTTGGCTACAGTAAAAGTATTTAATTATACCCTCAGTGATAATTCAGTTTAGGAACCAGAAGATCCATTTTTCTCTTTTCACCCTTAGGACCACAGTGACGATGCACTTAGTGTTGCAGGGACAATGGCCCATGAGATGGGCCATAACTTTGGAATGTTCCATGACTCCTATCTTTGCCAGTGTCCAGAAAAAATATGTGTGATGGAAGCAGCACTAAGGTAAGGCTTTCTGGGAAGATGTTATTTTCCCCTGTTTTTTGTTCCCTCTGGGCTATGCTACTCTTTTATATCATCTTCCACAACACGGTCAAGGTTTTAAATAATTAAATAGCATAGTTATGAGTGTGTGCCTATATATACACCAAACCACCCCTCCCTCATCTCTATGTTAACATTTTTTTTATTATGAGATGTAATTTAAACATACTCTCTCTTCAGTGTTGGAGTGACTTGTCATTTTATCCTCATGTACAGAAAATCATGAGAATTCATCAAGTTTTCAGTAACTTCACGTTAGGTAGTGATAAGGAAAAAGTTCAAGGAAAAAACCCAAAGAGGAAAGTTCTCACAGGAGGTGGAAGAGAGAATCTGTGAGAAGATATGACCCATTTCTGCCTAGCCTTATGCAAATATGCCAGGGAATTTTATCTTTAAAAATTCCACAGTCCCTTTTTCACATCCATTTCCTCTTCTATTTCCTTCTCAGCTTGCGCAACGTAGGGTTAGTCTCCCTTCCACAGAATAGCAGCTGGCTGTGTGCCAGCTACGTTGTCTGCTGTTATCTCCTCCAGATTTAGTGGATTTTTAAACCTCAGCTTTGTTAGTGGAATGAAGAAATTCCGTCAATAGGAATTTCTCTGAAGGAAAGTAAATTCGTAGACATGGAAATATGTAAAATTGTACTACTTTTAGGACTTTACAGTCAAAATAACCTAAGGCCAAATAAGATTATCTAGGTAAGTCAGAAGCATGTTTCTTTAAAGAGCAGCCTGGATGTGACCAAGTTTGCTCATTTAGCTGGAGATGTTTGTCCCTCCCAGTGGTCTAATCTAGGCCTGTGAATGTGTCCATGATTTAGCAGTTGGTCAGTGGATTTAATTTGATCTTTTGGAACAGGTTTTCAGGGAACCACCCCCAGGGTCCCCTCTGTGCTCCTTTTCTCTTCCCTTACCTTCACAGCATAGACATACCCACGGACTTCAGTTCCTGCAGCCGGGTCAGCTTCGCCCAGTTTTTTGAAGATAAGTTATCAGATTGCCTCTTGAATGCCCCACTGCCTGCAGACATCATATCCGCCCCACTCTGTGGGAACCAGCTGGTGGAGGGGGAAGAGGATTGTGACTGTGGGACGTCTGAGGTATGATCGAGTCTTTCCTACTGAAAGTCCAGTTTGTCTTTCAATTGCAAAGAAGGAAAGCTATAAGACTCTATAGTGTTTTTACACTTAAAATCTACATAATTTTACTAATCAATGTTATCCCAATACATACAATTAAACATAAAACACTTCTGACCCATACTTTAAAAAACGACATGGTGTGGTTCCCTATAAATTGGCATGCTTCTTGTGATTTATATATTTATTTATTTGTAAATCTTTGTCAGGCCAGCCTTTCCAACAATGAACACTGCATTGCTTAAAAGACTCTCTTGGGGTTCCTTCCCCATATGTGTTTTTTAAGTACAACACACCTTCCTGGGCTTTGTGCCCTCATGCCTCCCTTTCTGTTTGAAGTACTCCACATTTCTCATGTGCCTGTGACTTCCTGCACAGTTAGTGCTCACAGAGTGGAAGTAGCTTGCCCCAGGTCACCCAGCTGGTAAACGAAGGAGCCAAGATGTGCATTCAGGTGTGCTGGTTCAGCAGTCCCAGACTGTTTGCGCACAGTTTGTCCCCTAGTAACTCAGGACTCGTTACCATTAGAAGAGCCTTCCCTGACCCCACCTTGTTCCCTGGGGCATAGGCCACCCAGTCCTCAGGGCTCACAGTCTTTGCAGGAACTTCAAAACAGGATCACACATTTATTCATCCAGTGGAGAAAGGGATCTTTCTCAGATGATGTTTGTATTTGCAATAAGGGCCAGGGTTTTAACCCTAAATGTAATTCTAAATATATCATTCCTCATGGGGAATCTAAACAGCTACAAACAGTAGGGGGCCTGATTTCTCAAAAAACAAACAAAAAAGAGAACAAGACACATTGCTTCATGCAAAGTTAAAGTCAATGTCAAAAGTGAATAAACTATATATTTTTTATTTTTAGTTACATGTTCTGAAGAGTAAATTTACTGCTGAATAGGTACAAAACTGATCAGCTAAACTAATGTTCTTTAGATAAATTTTATTTTTTAAAGCCCATCCTTTGTCTTTCTTTTTGCTCTCACATTTTGAGTATTATTATGGAAAACTGGGTGAACTAAAAATATACTCAAATTTTTGAAAACTGTAAGTAGAATTCAGAAAAATAATGCACCTTTGGTTGCTCTAAAATGTCAGTTTTTCTAACATTAATCTTGTTGGGGTTTTTTGTTTTCCTGAAAATTATTTTGAGACCATACCAAAGTGAGGTCTGTATGATGAATAAATTATATCATGCATTGTGCTACAATTAAACCAAAATGTAATTCGGCATCTGCAATTGTTTCCGGTATTTCTCAGGAATGCACCAACATTTGCTGCAATGCTGAAACGTGCACAGTCAAGGCAGGATTGACGTGTGCATCCGGGGAGTGCTGTGAAGGGTGCCAGGTGAGAGTCTTTTAGTCTGTCATTGCAATTCTGATTGCCCTTTATTTTTCCACGTTAAAACCTCAGGGCTGGTGATCAGTGAAATAGACGAAGCAACATTTTTCTGTCTCTAAAATAATGCTACCTAACATCTACCAAGTCCTCACCGAGTGCTTGACAAGCATGGGCTATTTGATTCTCTAATACCCCGTCAGGTTGATTGTATTACCTCATTTTACTTTTGAGGGGAAAGGGGCTCAGAACAGAAAATATGCAAAATAATAGAATCACTAAATGGCAAACTCCATATTTACCGGTTCCAAAGCCGATAGTGTTCACTCCTACCTCCTGCTTCTTGAGATGCTACATGGCCTTCTTGGTACAAATCTCATAATTTGTTATAAATCCCTTTAATAATGAGTTTGGTAGAAGACATTTAAAAAAAATAATGTTGAGGCTCCCATGTCTTTGATTTTTGAAGTCACTTCAGGGTGAAATTCATAAATGAGGATGCCCTGTCGTTTTCTCTGTGAGGCTTTCTGACTTTTTTTTCAAGCTTGAATTCAGCATTTTATATTCCATTGTTAATAACAATTATTTATTTGTGTGTCTGTGTCCTTTGTTAGAATGACTCCTAAGGGCCGGGGTCATTCTTTGACCTCAAAGAACTTGTTGTTTGCTCAGGACAATGGTATACATAGCTGAAACTGATGAAAATATAATGTGTGATTGAATGCCCAGGTAGATATTATAATGGTACATATCCTTCATGTAAATCTTTTCACTTACATTTTCACAATGAACTTGTAAGTTACATATTAGATGGGAACATGGATTTTCAGAGAGATTAAATCCATTTTCCAAAGTTACACATTTAGCTGCTGGCAGAGAAAAGATTCAAAGCTGCATCTTCCAAATCTGCATTCAGGCCAGTTTGGGCCACCTTTCCTACTGCACACAGAAGAGAGGAGCCGCTGCATGTGTGTGTGGAATAAGTCAGGAAGGGGACTTCCGGCCAAGATGGAGGCGTCTGTGGAAACACTGTGGCTCCTTGCACAACCAAGTTTAAAGACAACAAAGTCTTTAGTAACAAAATGCAGCCAAAACATAGAAAATTGAACTGTACGGAAGTCTGACAACAACAAACTGTTCATCCAGACTGGTAAGAGGGGTGGAGTTAGTGGCTGGTGGAGAGGAGTAGTGCAGGAAAAAGCAGCTGGACCAAACCAGGTACGCAGGCGGTGGTTGGCAGATCCCAGGTGTGGGGTGGCAACAGGCAGACCCAGCGGGGGTGCAAGGTGGCTGGCTGACCTCGGTAACACATTTGTGCTCAGGTAAACCAGGCAAAGGAGTGAACAGTGAGACAGACCACGCAGGCTAGGGCCCCAGCACTGGGAATTAAAGCCTAAAAGCACAAATTGGAAAAACTTTCGGGATCGAGGTTCCAGGAAAAGCTCCCAGGCTCACAGAGAGTTTGTTGGAGAGACCCACAGGGTCCTGGAGGGTGCACAGGCCCACACACCCAGGAGGCATCACCAGGGGAGCCCGGTTTGCTTGTGGGAAGCAGCAGAAGGGACCAAAATCTAGGAGAGAGAAGAACAAACACCATTGCCCCTCTCTGACCCCGCCCCCACATACAGTGTCACAACCCAGCAACTGGGTCACCTGGGTCCTAGTGGACACCTAAGGCTCCGCCCCTCATACGGTAACAGGTGTGACCTAACCAAAACATTATGGCTCAAGAAGAACAGCTCAAAGCCCCAGAGCCAATACTTCTAAGCAACCAAGACATAGCCAACCTATCAAATGCACAGTTCAAAACACTGGTGATCAGGATGCTCACAAAACTTGACTTTAGTCATAAATTAGAGGAACAAATGAAGACTAAACTAAGTGAAATGAAGGGAAATGCACAGGAAACCAATAGTGATGGGAAGAAAACTGGGACTCAAATCAAGGGAGTGGATCAGAAGGAAGGAAAAAATGACCAAACAGAAAAATATGAAGAAACAAGAATTCAAAAAAATGAGGAGAGGCTTAGGAACCTCCAGGACATCTTTAAATGTTCCAACATCCGAATTATACCAGAAGGGGAATAAAAAGACCAAGTGGAAAACTTATTTGAACAAATGATAAAAGAGAACTTTCCCAATCTGGCAAAGGAAATAGACTTCCAGGAAATCCAGGAAGCTCAGAGAGTCCCAAAGAAGTTGGACCCAAGAAGGAACACACCGAGACACATCATCATTACATTAGCCAAGATTAAAATGAAGAAGAGAATCCTAGAATCAGCAAGAGATAAAGGGACAGTCACCTACAAAGGAGTTCCCATCAGACTGTAGCTGATTTGTCAAAAGAGACCTTACAGGCAAGAAGGGGCTGGAAAGAAGTATTTCAAGTCATGAAATCCAAAGACCTACATCCAAGATTGTTCTATCCAGCTAAGCTTTCATTTAGAATGGAAGGGCAGATAAAGTACTTCTCAGATAAGATCAAATTCAAGGGGTTCATCATCACCAAGCCCTTATTATATGAAATGTTAAAGGGACTTACCCAAGAAAAAGAAGATAAAAAAGATGAACAGTGAAAGGACAGCAAACTCACAGTTATTAACAACCACACCTAAAACAAAAGCAAACTAAGAGGACAGCTAGATCAGGAGCAGAACCATAGAAATGGAGATCACATGGAGGATTAGCAACAGGGGAGTGGGAGGAGGAGAAGGGGGAGAAGGTACAGAGAATAAGTAGCATAGACGGTAGAAAATAGACAGGGGGAGGGCAAGAATAATGTGGCAAATATAGAATCCAAAGAACTTGTGACACATGGACATGAACTAAAGGGAGGGAATGTGGGGGGCGGTGTGCAGAGTGGAGGGGAATGAAGGGGGAAATGGGACAACTGTAATGGCATAATCAATAAAATATATTTTTTAAAAAGTCAGGGAGGCTTCATGGAACAGGAGCCTCTCAGACTACTCTGGAAATTAGTGAACAGATTTTAGAAAATCAACCGAAAGAGAAAATTTTTCCAAATAAGGAGGTTGAGAGAAAGAACAAGACAACACAAAAGGTATAAACATGGTGTAGATAGAGATTGGCTGGCTGGAGTAACTTGGAGGGTCTCATGTGCTCCAGTTAGTTTGGATTTTATTCTGTCACCAGCATAAAATTACTGAAAGTGTCTGGGTGACTTGAGAGCCTGCCTGCACCCTTCAGCTAGGTAAGAAATGTGTCCTGTGTCCACACAGTAAAACCTTGTTTTACTATGGTTTCTCTCAGGAAATAAGAGCAAGATTCACAGTACTAGATTGTAATGGAATTAATTCATCAAATGAATATTTGGATATTTTTTTCATTATAAAATTATTCCATAAGAAGTGAGTTGAAAAAAATATCTGAAAGGAATTAAGAATTAGGAAACATGATGCCTGAGAACTTCTCAGAGCATGCTGACCTGATGCTGGTGAGCTTATCTTCCTTAATACGGGAGATCCACTTAACCAACAAATCTCTGTGCTTATGCATTGAAACCTCTTCGAAAGTTTTGACAAAGATGCACTCCACAAAGGGATAAATAACTTCCTTCTTTGCATCTCAGATGTTGCTTGTTTTTTGTCTGCATTTTTCTCTTTGGTATTTCTGTAGTTTTTGCACTCCAAATCCAGAAATATTGATTGATTAAAGAATTAGAGTACTGGTCAAAGGAAATGACATAATAAAAGATGGCTGTAGCTTATACAGTATAAGTGTAAATTGGAATACAAAGATGCCCCTAACTACCTTGACAATAAAAGGACAGAGGGAAAATATCATTTGGATCTATTGGAGATATATGGTAGGTGAGGTGAGTAAAAGCCTCCTATTATTTTTTCCCCTGCAGATTAAAAAGGGTGGTGAAGTGTGCAGACCAGCTAAAGATGAGTGTGACCTGCCAGAAATGTGTGATGGACAGTCCGCTCTTTGCCCTGATGACCGATTCCAAGTCAATGGCTTCCCTTGCCAGAACGGGAAGGGCTACTGCCTGATGGGGCTGTGCCCCACGCTGCAGGCGCAGTGCTCCAAGCTCTGGGGACCAGGTAGGGGGACACACCCCAGTGCTGTTGGCATGCCCACTTCTCTCCACACACATGCCCAAAAGAAAACGATACAAAAAACACCACCTTAATCCAAGTGACAGTGTTGAATTGTGGGCCAAGTAGCCTTCTGTCCCATTCTTCTTTCTTAGAAACTGTACCATTGCACTTTAGGGCTTACGGGCAATTTGGGCTTGCTAGATTTAGCAGATTAAAAATAAGAATGGCCCAGTGAAATTTTAATATCAGATTAAATTTTTTAAATCATATTTATATGTCTTATGCAGTATTTGAGGCAAACTCATAATAAAAATATTTTTTGTGTATCTGAGATTCAAATTTAACTGGGTTCAGAAACATTTTATAATTCCTAAAATTACCCAAGAGACAAGATTAAGGAAAGCAACAGTAATTATTGGCTCATACTACACCTAAGATAAAAGAAACCTGGGAAATAAATGGACAAGCATCTAGAAAAATGCCCCTGTGTGTCAGGCAAGGGTGGGCAAGGGTGTGAGGAGCAAAGGTAGACACCACTAGCACACAAGTGCAAATGTAGTAAAAAATACGAGTGAGAACAAGTTCATCTCCTACACTGGTTGTACTGGCCATGCTGGGTTATGATTAACACTTAGTGTTGATGAGGATGTGGCAAAATGTCTGAGTTCACACACTGGTAAGAGTGTTAATTAGCATAATCTTTTCAGAGAGAATTTGAGAAATGCATGCAGGGTGGCCAACAGTAGGTTTACAGTTGTTTGCATGGAAAATAATACAATAATTAATAAGTAATAATACAAGAATAAACTCTGTGCCCTGGCCAGATGCTCAGGTGGTTGAAGCATTGTCTTGCACACCAAAAGGCTGAGGGTTCCATTCCCAGCCAGGCAACATATCAGGATTGTGGGTTTGAGCCCTGCTATGGGAGTCAACCAATCAATATTTCTCTCTCACATCAATGTCTGTGTCTGTCTCTTTCTCTCTTTAAAATCAATAAAAAGAACAGATCCTGTGTGACAATTAAAAAAAATAACTCACAACTGTAAACCTTCTATTGCCAACCCCTGTATACAACATGAAAAAAGTAATCCTTTTTCTAAAAGTTGTACCCAGGAATATTTATTTACAAGTATCTCATCCATCATTTAAAAAAATAATAGTGGATAATTGGGAAACTTCTCAAAGTTCAGGAATAAGGATTAGTCAAATAAATTATAGTGTATCAATCCAACGGATTTTATAGCTATGATATTATAGAATATTTTAATACCTGGGGAAAGGACAAGTTAATTGGGAAAAAGTAATTTATAAAGTAGTGTGATACCAGGTATGTAGATGATACTTTCTGCAATATTAGCCATATTAACTCTGAAGTTTGGGAATAAGAATATGCTTTTTCCAGTATGGAGGGATCTAGAGGGTATTATGCTAAGTGAAATAAGCCAGTTAGAGAGAGATAAATACCATATGTTCTCATTTATATGTGAAATATAATGAAAAAAGTAAACTAGCAAACAAAACAGAAACAGACTTGTAGAGACAGAGAGCATTCTGACAGTTGTCAGAAGGGAGGGGAGGTCGGGGGCTGGGTAAAAAGGGTGAAGGGATCAAGCAGTCCAGGTGCGTAGTTGCAGAACAGCCACAGGGGTGCAGGGTACTGCCCAGAGAATGTCATCAATAATGTGGAGCTAACAGAGTATAGGCCAGGTGGGTTCCTGGGGCCCACTCTGTAGAGTGTATAGTTTGTTGGCCACTTTGCTGTACATCTGAAAATGGTGCCTTATGGCGTTGAATGTAAACTGTGGTTAAAAGAGAATATGCTTTTTACAAATTATTAATGCCAAATTATTCAATCAATTTTCAGTGTAGATATTTTATATAGTAAGGAACTAATGCTACTATGATACAAATAATTAGAAAATATGGTAATAAACTAATTTCATCATCTTGAACATTGAGACATAAATTCCCTTAAAATTGTTTGAGTTTACAAATAATTGTAAGAAGTTCAATGATTTTTCTTAAAACCAGTGTAATGTCTTTATAGATTTTTAATTATTTTAACCTTGTTTTTTGAAAGACTAAATTCAAATTTTCCCTATAAATTATTGAAATTTAAGAGGGGCATCTCACATGGAATAGGAGCATAAGTATTAGACTCAGAACTGGGTGGGCAATCTGGTTTTTCATCTCTCTCCGTGACTTCATCTATATGATTGTCTATTTTCTTGTTGGTAAAGTGGAAATGATAACAATGGCTACTATTTCTCAACCACTTACTAGTCACTATCCACTCTTCTTATTGCCTCATGTATATTAACTCATTTAATGCTCACAACAACCCTATGAGGTTGGCACTCTTACATATTCTCTTTTTATAGCTGAGCAAACCATGAGGTTAAGGCACTTGCCCAAGATCACACAGCTGCTCAGTCTTACTTAACACCTGAGCTGTTAAGCACTGTGTCCTCTTGCTTAGCTGATGGAATTAGAGGGAGAGTATATGAGAAATTAAATATGATGCTCATTACTGTTCCTGGCAAAACAGGAGTCTGACCAATCATAGCATGTCATTGTCACAGTAGAAGCAGCAAGATAGCATTTCATCATCTGCCTGGTGGCTGTTAACATAAAGGCTGCAGCTCTCCTGTCTAAATCTTCATAGCTACATAGATTTCTCTCAACTCTCAGCAAACCATCCAGATGTTTTCAAATAGTAAGATAGCCATTATTCAAAAATAGATTCAAAAGATTGTTTTTAACTCCAGTCAGCTCTCTTTAAAAAAAAAAGGTTTTATTTATTTATTTTTAGAAAGGAGAAGGGAGGGAGAAAGAGAGAAACATCAATGTGAAGTTGCCTCTCATACTCCCCCTACTGGGGTCCTGGCACACAAACCAGGCATATGCCCAGACTGGGAATCAAACCAGTGACCCTTTGGTTTGCAGGCTGGCACTCAATCCACTGAGTCACATCAGCCAGGGCTCCAGTCAGCTCTTGATATCAAGTTATTGCAGGCTCTGGTTCTGAGAATTTCCAATGGAATTACATCATGTGCTGCATAATGACATTTCAGTCATTGACAAACCACATATCCTAAGGTGGCTCCACAAGATTTTAATGCAGTGAAAATTGTCTATTAGATGCTGATGTCATAGCCATCATAATGTCTTAGCACAACACATCACTCACGTGTGTGTGGTGATGCTGGTGTAAACACACCTACTGCCCTGCCAGTTGTATAAAAGTGTAGTAGCACATGCAGTTATGCACAGGACATACTACTGATAATGATAATGAATAATTACATCATGGTTTATGCATTTACTATAGTATTCATCTCATCCTTACTTTAGTGTTCTCTTTCTGCTTTTAAGGAAAGTCTGCTGTAAAACAGTCTGTCTCAGATATCTCGTGTCTACCATGTCTATGTAATGCATCATTTTCTTGTGTTATTGATTTACCCTCATGTGTTGTTCATCATGGCTCCTAAATGTACAAAAGCCACTGCTAATGTTGCCAGTAAGAGGCCACATCAAAGGACTGACCCGGAGATAGAAGTGAGTAAGGATGATGAAGGTGGGAAGTCGAATGACGAAGGTGGGAAGTAGTTATTGCTCACCAGTTGGGCCCGTCCCTTTCTACCATGGCAACTATCTTGAAGAACATGAACAACACGATAGAAGTTGTTAAAGAATCTGCTTCCTTGAAGGCAACAAGACTAACACAAATTTAAGAACAATATGATTTCAATACTGTGTGGGACAGAAAACTGAAAGCAACAAATGATCAAACAAGACAAAAACTCATAGACACAGGTGACAGCATGGTGGTTTTCAGAGGGAAGGGGGGCAGGAGACAGTAAAGAGTAAAGGGGATTAAATATATGGTGATAGAAGATAATTTTACTTTGGGTGGTAAACACATAGTATGATATACAGATGATGTAGTATAGAATTCTGTAATTGAAACCTAAATAATCTTGTTAACAAATGTTACTCCAATTTAATTAAAAAAGAAAAATATTCAAAAAGGACTTATATCAAACATGGAGAAACTTCTAATGACCTGGATTGAAGAACAGACACAGAACTGTGCTTTTCTCAGCTCTGTGACAATCATGTCCAAAGTAAAAAAAATTCTTTGTGATGTTGAAATGATGATGCTGAATTCATGGCTAGTGCGGGTTGGTTTAAATGATCCAGGAGTTGTTATTCATTACATAATGTGAATGTGACTGGTGACTATGCAAGTTACTAATGTGAAAACAGCTAAAACTTTTTGAAAACTCTGGGTAAGCTGATTGTGGAGGAAAATTGCTTGACAGAGCAAATATTCAATATGGATGAAAGCTCGCTACTCTGGAAATGGGTGCCTGAAATGACTCTCATCAATAAGGGGGCCAGTCACTGTCAGGTTTCAAGGTTCTAAGGACAGGATGACAGTCTTGGTTGGGTCAGTGTTACAGGCTACAAGTTGAAACCCACTGTGATCTGGCACAGGGAGAACCCCAGGGCCTTGGAGCTTGTCAGCAAGTGCACCCAGTCGGTGTGCTACAGGAACAATAGGCAGTCATGGATGACCCAGCTCCTCATCCAAGATCCCTTCCTGGATAGCTGTGCCAGTGATGTGGAGAAGTGCTGTTTGGAGCCTAGCATACCTTTCAAGATCTTGCTTATTGTTTATAAAGCTCCTGGACATGCTCCTTTTAGTGGTGGTCTTCATCCTGACAACAAAGTATGTTTCTCCCTCCAAACACAACCTCTTTGGTCCAGCGGTCAAGGAGATACAGCAGCCTCTAAGGCCTACTACCTGAGGAGAACCTTTACCCAGGCTGTCGCTGCAATGGAGGAAGACACCGAGGAGATGCTTAGGATTAAAGTATCTCTGACAGCATCAAGAACCTTCCTTGGGCTTGGGGTGATGTCACCAAGAAGGATGTGATTGGCATCTGGAAAGAAGGCACTCAAGAGGTTCACCCGTGACTTAACAGGATTTGCCAAGGATGAGGAGGCTGCAGCAGTTGAGACTGTGGTGGAGACGGCAAATGGCCAATGCCTTCTACTGGGGGTGATGGGTAGGCAAGATGACACTGAGGGGCAGGTAGAGGGTTCCTGGGGGAGTGGCCAATGAGGGATTGTTGGAACTGGGATAGGAATGCATAGCTGGAGAAGAGGCAAGAGAAAAAAACTGGGAGAAGGAAAAGGAGACCCCCAGGAACATTCACAGTGAAGGGTTTAGCAGAAGCTTTTACAGATTTCAACAGGCTCCTGGAAAAGTCTGAACACAGGGACGTTACCACCAAAAGGTTTTGATCGATAGAGAGGAATACTCATGATGCATTGTCTGCTTACAAGCAAATGTACAATGAGAAAGAGAAGCCAAGCAAACCACCTTGGACATATTTCTGAAAAGAGTGATAACTTTCTCAAGAAGTGCCTCTGGCAGGAGGTGTTCCAGGAGAAGGCACTGTTGTCATAGGAGATGGCAGCTCCCTGCGTGTTGTTGCCATTGAACACCCTCCTGTAGGACGAGATGTGGAAGTGGGAGACAGTGATATTGATGATTCTGACCCAAGTTAAAAAAAAGATTTTAATAGAGAGAAAGTTCTAGAATAGGGATATATAGAAAAAAGTTTTTGTATAGCTATGCAATAGTTTGTGTTTTAAGCTGTGTCATTAAAAAATAGTTAAAAAGTTTATAAAATAAAGTTATAGTAAGCTACGGTTAGTTTATTTTTGAAGAAGGAAAAGTATTTTTTAAATAGATTTAGTGTGGCCTACGCACCGAGCGTTTACAAAGTCTACAGTGTTGCACAGTCATGTCCTAGGCCTTCACACTCACTCCCTGCCCACTGACGACACCAGAGCCGCTCCCAGTCCTGCAGCCTCCATCCATGGTACATGCCCTACACAGGTTCACCATTTTTAGTCATTTATACTGTAATATTACTGTACCTTTTATTTATTTTTATTTAATCTTTATTGTATTTTTTCATTACTATCTAGACCCTTAAATCCTTCTACAATCCTTCAACCCCCTATTTTCTCAATACCTCCACCCCTTAACCTCACCCCCCCAACTAGCTGTCGTCTGCTCTCCATCTATGAGTCTGTCTCTGTGCTCCTTGTTAATTCAGTTTGTTCATTAGTTTCCACATATGAGTGAAATCATTTGGCATTTGTCTTTCTCTGACTGGGCTTATTTCACTTAGCATAATGTTCTCTAGGTCCATCCATACTATTAAAAGGGTAAAATTTTCTTCTTTTTTATGGCCAAGTAGTATTCCATTGTGTAAATATCCCATAGTTGTTTTATCTGCTCATCTACTGATGGACACTTGGGCTGCTTCCATATCTCAGTGATTGTAAATAACACTGCAATGAACATAGGGGTGCTTATGTTCTTTCAAATTAGTGCTTCTGGTTCCTTCAGACATATTTCCAGAAGTGGGATCGCTGGGTCAAAAGGCAGATCCATTTTTAATATTTTGAGGTATTTCCATACTGCTTTCCACAATGGCTGCACCACTCTGCATTTCCACAAACAGTGCAAAAGGGTTTCCTTTTTTCTACATCCTCGCTAGCACTTGTTTGTTGCTTCATTGATGACAGTCATTCTGACAGGTAAGAGAAAAAATGGCACTGCATACATATCTATCAATAATCACTTTAAATGTAAAAGGACTTCCAGCCAAGATGGAGGCATAGGTAGATACACTTTGCTACTTTGCACAAACAAAAGAAGTACAACAACAAATTTAAAAACAAAAGATAACCAGAACTGCCAGAAAATTGAACTGTGTGGAAGTCCAGCAACGAAGGAGTTAAAGAAAAAACATTTATTCAGACTGGTAGGAGGGGCAGAGACAGGCAGCCAGGGTGGAGACTACTCTTGGCAAGGTGGCAGCTAGAGGACTGAGGCAAGCAAGATGGCTGCTGGCAGACCTGGTGGTCCCACATTTGCATGTGAATAAACTGGGAGGAACAACTAGGGAGCAAGACAGATCACGCAACCGAGGGTTCCAGTGCAAGGAAATAAAGCCTCAAAACCTCTGACCAAAAAAAAACCTGTGGGAGTTTAGGCAGCAGGAGTAACTCCCAGCCTCATAGGAGAGTTTGTTGGAGAGACCCACTGGCTCCTAGAAGGTACACAAACCTACCCACCTGGGAATCAGCACTAGAAGGGTCCAATGTCCTTGTAGGTAGCAGAGGAAGTGACTGAAAGCCAAGAGCTGACCAAGCTGCTTTGTTCTCTCTCAGACCTCTCCCCCACATACATTGCCACACCACGGCAACATGGGTTGCCCCTTCATAGCAGATACCTATGGCTCCACCTCTTACTATGTAATAGGCGTGCTGAGACAAAAAATATGGTCCAAATGAAAGAACAGATCAAAGCTCCAGAAAAAAATACAACTAAGTGACAGAAAGATAGCTCACCTATCCAATGCATAATTCAAAACACTGGTAATCAGGATGCTCAAAGAATTGGTTGAGTATGGTCACAAATAAAAGGAAAAAGTGAAGGCTATGAAAAGTGAAATAAAGGGAAATGTATAGGGAGCCAACAGTAAAAGGAAGGAAGCCAGGACTCAAATCAACAATTTGGAGCAAAAGGAATAAATAAACATTCAACCAGAACAGAATAAAGAAACAAGAATTCAGAAGAATGAGGAGAGGCTTAGGATCCTCTAGGACAACTTTAAGCACTCTAACATCAGAATCATAGGGGTGCCAGAAAGAGAAGAGGAAGAGCAAGAAATTGAAAACTTATTTGAAAAAATAATGAAGGAGAACTTCCCCACCCTGGCAAAGGAAATAGACTTCCAGGAAGTCCAGGAAGCTCAAGAGTCCCAAAGAAGTTGGACCCAAGGAAGCACACACCAAGGCACCTCAAAATTATATTACTCAAGATTAAAGGTAAGGAGAGAATCTTAAAAGCTACAAGAGAAAAGAAAACTGTTACCTACAAAAGAGTTCCCATAAGACTATCAACTGATTTTTCAAAAGAAACATTGCAGGCAAGAAGGGGCTGGAAAGAAATATTCAAAGTCATGGAAGGCAAAGACCTACATACAAAATTACTCCATCCAGCAAAGCTCTCATTTAGAATGCAAGGGCAGATAAAGTGCTTCTCAGATAAGGTAAAGTTAAAGGAGTTCATCATTACCAAGCCCTTATTATATGAAATGTTAAAGGGACTTATCTAAGAAAAAGAAGAAGATTAAAAATATGAACAATAAAATGACAACAAACTCACAACTATCAACAACCAAACCTAAAAAAACAAAAACAAAGATGAACTAAGCAAACAATTAGAACAAGAACAGATTCACAGAAATAGAGATCACATGGAGGGTTATCAGTGGGGAGGGAGAGGGCAAGAATGGAGGAAAAGGTACAGGGAATAAGTAGCATAAATGGTAGACACAAAATAGACAGGGGGAGGTTAAGAATAGTATGGGAAATGGAGAAGCCAAAGAACTTATGTATACAACCCATGGACATGAGCTAAGGCGGGGGGGGGTGATGATGGAAAGGGAGGTACAGCACAGAGGGGGAGTAAAGGGGGGAAAGGGATAACTGTAATAGCATAATCAATAAAATATATTTTTAGAAAATATTAATGGCTTTTACGTTCCAACCAAAAGGCATAGGTTAGCTGAATGGATAAGAAAATGAGACCCATATATATGCTGCCTCTAAGAGACCCATCTCAGATTGAAATATACACACAGACTAAAAGTAAAGGGATGGAAAAGGATATTTCATACAAATGGAAAAGAAAAAAAAGCTGGGGTAGCAGTACTTGTATCTGACTAAATAGACTTTCAAAAAAGAAAGGTAGTACATAATGAGAAAGGGAACAATCCAACAAGAAGACATGTACTTTTTTCATGTTTGGATACACAAATACTTACCCCTTACAACAGCCTACAGTATTCAGCACATGTTGTACAGGCATGTAGCCCAGGGCAGTAGGCTAGACCATACAGCTTAGTTGTATAGTGGGTTATACCATCTAGGTTTGTGTAAGTGAACTCTGTGATGTCCCCACAATGACAAAATTGCCTAGTGGTGCATTTCTCAGAATGCAACCCTGCTGGCTGCATTCTGTTAAGCAATGCAACTGTTAAGCAATGTATGACTATATGTCAAAATAGTATTTCTCATAATGGCATTTTTTAATTTTAATTTTCCATTACAGTTTACATTCAGCACTATGTTGTATTAGTTTCAGGTGTACAGCACAGTGGTCAGACAATCATGTAATTCACACAGTGATACCCCATTATTTCAAATACCCATCTGGCACCATACATAGTTATTATAACATTATTAACTATAGTTCCTATGCTGTTGGTTTTATATTTCATTAACCCTTTGCTGCATTGAACTTCCTTTCTCTTTTCTTTTCAAATATGTCCCTATTGGTCATGCCTGGCCCAGGAGCTGAGGTTGCAGATATGTCATGTTACAGCAAGAACACAAATGGGTTAAAGTATGGGTACTGCCGCAAAGTGGGCGACACACACATTCCCTGTAAAGCAAAGTAAGTGTCCTTGTTGGCTGAACCTTCCTACCCCACAGACTAGGGAACTTGCTCACATCCAGCCAGTTCTGATTTATTTCATTTGGAGAGAAAGTGAATTTCAACATCATTCATGACAGTCACTAAATGACTACTATGTGCCATGTTTCAAGCTAGGTACCGAGTTAACAAGAGAAATAAGAATTGATCCCTCTTTTCGAGTCCTTCTTGGTAGGTGCTTCAGATGACACCAAGTACAATCACTAGTGAATAGAAGGGATACTTGAGGTGGAACATGCAGTGTGAATGAATAGGCCTGGTTGAAAATGTGTCCACTGATTTTCCAGGATACTTTAGGTATTTTCCCATCTGATGTCTTTGACTTTGAGTCTAGGGGAACAAGTATTTACTGAGTCAGAGAAATAACCAATAACATGCCTATACAGTTTTATTTAATTTAAACTTGCCATGAAATTATATAAAGAAACAAGGCAGTAAGAGAAAACATTGACAATTCACCTGAAGAATGTTTTAATTTTTATAGTGATACTCTAGAAAAATCATAGAATATTACATTCAATGAATTTGAGATCTTTCTATAAGACTTTTTGATTGTGCAATTTTAAAATGACATTAAAAAGTCAAATTATAATAAATTCCTTGTACCTGTTCCAAATTTTACACATTTAAATTAATGTACAATGAGGTTAAACAAGATCAGCATTTCTCAAATTTTTCTATTAAACACTAATTTTTATAGATGATTGATATTACACACATACATACATGCATATTCATATATACATACATATACATGAGTATACATACATACACATATGTTTAGTTTTTCTAAACAAACTATATTTTGGCCATAAGGTCATCTCTTTGGGCAGTTGGGCCTAAAGGATGGATCATGATATTTTGTGCTTTCTCCTTTTTAAAAAATCAGAGGAGATTCAAAGGGAGGAAATAGATAAAAGGAAATATTTGGGGGGAGGGGAAGAGCGATAAGTAGTATGAGAGGTAGTGAGTAGGAAAAGAGAGTAGGGTAGCTCCATTTTTCCTCTGCAGCGTGTGTACACACCACTGCCCCATACCACCATCTGTCTGTGCACTGAATAATTTCTGTCATTAGAGGCACAAGTATTTCTTCTCTCCACAGGCTGCTTTTCTAGTCACTTCTTCATAGTAACTGGCTGGAGTGGAGAAGAAGCCTGTAATTCCCAGTACCATAGAATCTTCACCTAAATAATTCAAGAAAACACTCTCTCAAGTTTGGAGAGAATGCATGCCTTTCTCTACTCCTTAATCATTTTTTATTAACAGCCACCAAAGGCATCAGAAGAATGTGATTCTATCTGTACTCAGAATACTTTTTTCACAGCCCTTTTTTGAATTCTGCATAAAGCAATGGACTGCAGTTTTATTGGCATTGACTTTACTCTCCTTGATGGTAAATGAAAGGCTTTATTGAGTGTTGAGCAGTTTCCTGCATTTGCAGGGAGATGGTTCTTTCAGTAACTCCACATGATGCCTCGGAGGATCAACCAAGGCTCAGCTTTGTATTGACCCAACTGTAGTGGACAGAATTATTCTGCTGCAATTTATGAGAATAAATAAGGAACATTAGCTAAAATAAGATAGAAATTGATTTCCTAGGTGTCCTCCATTATGTTAGAACCCCATTCTCCTAATATTTTCTAGCTCCATCACACATATGACCTCCTCTCCCAAGTGTTTCCTTGGTCTGTGTTGGCTTCCCCAGCTCCCATGTCAATTTCCAATGAGCAAAAAGGAAATACCCCCCTAAAAAGTAAGAGTACCTTCAAGAATTTGTATTGTACTTAAGACTCTGTTTCCTGGCTATTGGCTAAAACTTAGACAATTGGCCAAAATTAGCTGCATGGGAAACTGGGAAATGTGTTTTTGTATTGTTGCTTTAGCAACAATGTGCTCCCCCCCCCCCATATTCAGTGGTTCTATTACTGAAGAATAGGGGAAAATTGATATAAAGAACCAGAAGTCTGTGCTATAGGGAGAAAAACCATTAGTTAACTATTGATAGTCAGGGAGCTATCAACATTTGTATAAAATTGCAACTTGGATCCTGGCATTTCAACTGCAGCAAATTTTGGCTTTTCCTCAGTGATGTCATGTGTGGGAAGTTGTTCTGTCAAGGTGGTTCAGATAATTTGCACCAGAAAGGATATGTAATAAGTTTCTCGACATGTAAAACATTTAACCCTGAAGACAACAGTCAAGAAATAGGCATGGTAGCCAGTGGAACCAAGTGTGGAGATAAGAAGGTAAGTTGAAATTGTGATTTTTATTCAAATGTTTTTTTTAATTTTTTGTTTTGTTTTCAAGGCCTCTTTGTGTTCCATAGGAGCAGTTTTCAAAGCAGTGCTTATGTCATTCACTTATGCCTGCCTGCATTTATTCCTTCAGTATTACTTAATAAGTACTTATTATACACTTGGCACAAGGTTGTTAAACTTAGGTAAATTTTATTGTCCCCAGACTGGTAGGTTTTCAATGAATGCTAGTCACTCTGATAATAATAAAGAAATTAACAATACTATTTTTTACATGAATGATCATTTTAAATGCTACAGAAGATGTGATATTAACATACTTTTCATAATATCTCTGATTGGAATGGGTACTTTGTACTATGTGCACTAACCCCTGATGAATGAAGCACAAGCATTTTGAATGAAGTAAGGAAATTTTTAAGAGGATTTTGTAAACATGTTATTATAAAAAATATCCAGATCCCACCCTCCTATTTTCAAAAGAATGCTGTGATTTCCCTAATAAAAAGGTAAGTTTGATATTGGAAATAGTGGCTAATAATATAACACCAAATTCCAAACAGACAGAAATTTGCAGAGCCGACACCCTTGGACCTTAGTGTCACGTCATGTTTCTCAGGTTTGTGTTCAGGCAGAGTGTGTGGATGTCGAGAGAGCCTACAAATCGACCAATTGCTCATCTCAGTGCAAAGGACATGCTGTAAGTTTTGAAAATGTTTCCCCAAGCTTGCTCAATCTTACATAATTTTAGGTCCGTTTTGATGATGTAAAAGAATGTTTCAGGGTGAAATGATTAAAATGATAAAGTTTGTCTAATCCCTCAGTAGTGCATTTGAATGAAAAAGTTCTTCTAAGAACCTAGTATATGTGAAATTCCTATCATTAATTTGTCTCTATGTAGAGAGTGGAAAGACGCAGAACAGGGTTATTCTGTTTTCAGAATGGACTTGCGGTGGATGGGTAGGCCCCCGAGCCAGTGGACAGTCTAACGTGGAAACTGACAGGATCCTTGATTCCCCAGGTGTGTGACCACGAGCTCCAGTGTCAGTGTAAAGAGGGCTGGGCCCCTCCTCTCTGCGGGGACTCCTCCGTGGTGCTCTGTAGGTAACATTTCATGTCTACCTGAGAAATTGCTCTTCTTTCCCAAGCTTTTCTTTAGTATAATAAAAGATTCTGTGGCCTCTCTTCTCTCCTCTTGAAATTCCTGTCCTATAGATACTGAATCTTCAGTATTTATCTTCAAAGTCTCTATAACAGCTTTTAGAAAAAAGTTCATGTATTTAGTTGTAGAGAGAGGGGCAGGGAGGGAGAAAGAGAGGGAGAGAAACATCAATGTGAGAAACATCAATTGGTTGTCTCTTGCACATGCACCTACCTGAGACCAAGCCCACAACCCACATGTGCTCTGACTGGGAATAGAACCAATGACCTTTCACTGTGTGGAATAGCACCCAACTTACTGGGCCACACCAGTCAGGGCTCTTTAACTACTTTTAAACCTTATTTCCCACATTCTTACGCATTACTCTACATACAAAACAATTTCCTCAAATTTTATATTTGTAATATTTTAATTCCCTAAATTTCCTTGTTTTCTGAGTGTTCCATTTTCATGCCTGCCTTGACTTGATGTATAGATACAACATCCTCATAAAACTCTCTAAGAATATGACAGGTTAATTTTGTAGGTTTAATTCTGTATTCCAAATTATCTGTATTTCTTTTGAGTTGGACTGCTCTGTTTTTTTTACCTTGTCTCTTATATTTCATTGTGTTGTTTTTCTTCAGGGCATGTGATCTTTTGTTGAATATGAAATTAGATTGCCCTGAACTAGCTCGCATGGATTTACTCTGCATATGTGTGTGCTTGTTGTACCTACCAATAGCCTCTCCTGATGAGAGATCTGGCTATGAGCTCTGTCAGCAGATAGACACATCTCCCTACGGGCCATCAGGGTGGGGGCAGCCAGAGTGGGGATCCTCACTTCTTGCAGCCACGGTGAAGAGTACTCTGCCATGGGTGTAGCTGAGCAGACGGGGCCTGTTCCTGTGGCGCCTTGGTGAATGACCCAACAATCAATACAGGTTTTTATTTACAATATTCCAACCCTGGGGGGACTCAGAGCACTTATGATCAGAGCCCTGCTTTCCCACAAGACCTAGCACTTCCCTTATTCCCCAAAAGGCTATAAGCCAAAACCAAGCTCAATAGTTCCCTATTTCCTTATCTTAAGCTAGTTGCGCAAACAGTTCTCCAATCTCTCTGGAAGGTACCAAAGTTGTCATCCTCACGCAGTAGTTCTTTCCTTCAGGATCTGGGGTATGTTGTCATCAGCCTCCCAGTTACAGTCCAGGAAAACACATGCTTTGTTACACTGCATCATGGTGAAATCCAGGGAAGGCACAAGTTCCAAGTGTCCAGATAGAGTCCGGGTTTGCAAGGCAACAGGTCAGTGTTGCCTTGCAAGGCAGGATCCTTGATGGCAGCTACAGCAGGCATGATCAGAGTAGCAAAATGCCATTCTTTCCCTTGTTACACCAGGTCAAATGGCTGAATAATCCCTACAAACTGCATAGCTGCTACTTCACTGCTGGTAGCTTGGCTCCTTTCTTCCCTACAAGCTGCCTGCCCTTTGTTTTAAATTCTGACCCATCTTGCCTGTAAGGTTTCTTTTGAGAAATCTGCTGACAGCCTGATGGGGACTCCTTTGTAGGTGATTGTCCCCTTAGCTCTTGCTGCTTCCAGGATTCTTTCCTTCATTTTAATTTTGGCTAATGTAATTATGATATGCCTTGGTGTGTTTCTTCTTGAGTCCAACTTTTTTGGTACTCTCTGGGCTTCTTGGATTTCTTGGAAGTCTATTTCCTTTGCCAGATTGGGGAAATTTTCTTTTATTATTTGTTCAAATAGTTTTTCCACTGGTGGTTGTGTCTTTCCCCCTTCTGGTACCCCTATAATTCGGATATTGGAGCGTTTAAAGATGTCCTGGAGGTTCCAGGCAAGAAGGGGCTGGAAAGAAATATTCCAAGTCATGAAATCTAAAGACCTACAACCAAGATTGCTCTACCCAGCAAAACTTTAATTTAGAACGGAAGGACAGATAAGGTGCTTCTCAGATAAGACCAAATTCAAGGAGTTCATCAGCACCAAGCCCTTATTATATGAAATGTTAAAGGGACTTATCTAAGAAAAAGAAGTTAAAGAAACATGAACAGTGAAAGGACAACAAACTCACAGTTATTAACAACCACAACTAAAACCAAAGCAAACTAAAAGGACAGCTAGATCAGGAGTGGAAACATAGAAATGAAGATCTCAAGGAGGGTTAGCAACAGGGGAGTGGGAGGAGGAGATGGGGGGAGAAGGTACAGAAAACAAGTAGCATAGACAGTAGATAGAAAATAGATGGGGGGGGCAAGAATAGTATGGGAAATATAGAACCTAAAGGACTTGAGACACATGGACATAAACTAAAGGGGGGTAATGGTGGGGTTGGGGGGGCAGGGTGGAGGGGAATGAAGGGGGGAATAGAACAACTGTAACAGCATAATCAATTCAAAAAAATAAATTAATTAAAAAAAAAATTCTGACCCAGAGCCTCCTGAGTAATCTCATCTCTGACTCCTCCCACTTTGAGCTACATTTGCCAGTTTTATGTATACTTTACATTCTCTCTGCTGCCACTCCCAGTCAGGGCAAAAGTGACTCAATGATCCAGGGGAAACCACCTCCTCGGCTAGTCAGGGGTCAGGATACAGTCTGAAAGTTACACCCACCTTGCCCCTAGACAGTAGCACAGCTATTAAACTAGCTACCAAAGCTACCAAGTTATCATTGTAATGTAAAGTATCAGCTCTACCCCACCCCTCAGCCATGTTTTGTGGAGGCTTTGGAGGCCCCAAAGTCTATACCCTGTTTCACAAGGAGAAAGATTTTCATTTCATTTACTTCCTGAGAGTTGCCTTCTTTTTGCACTGAATCTCTCCTTGATGCTTTTTTCTCTCTCTGATCTAGTATGGGTGCCTGTCATTAGCCTCTGTGCTGCTTCTTGGGCTCTTGAGTCTCCCATTGCTTATAGAGAATTCCCTAGAAGGGTTTTGTTTCGAGGCATGAGCCACTCTTGTTCTGTGTATGTAAGGGATGGGGATGGGCCCAAATGAATCATCTGTCCCACATTCAGACTCCCCTTTGGCTTCCCAAGGAAAAACAACATCTACTTCTGAAGTTTGGGCCATAATTTACTTGTTGGCTGTCCACATTAAATCCTTTAACTTCCTATATTTTTGTAACTTTCTTTTTAATGGAGGGTGAAAAGCATCAGATATTTGAACTGACACTAACATCTTACCTAGAATTTTACTGCTGCTGTCTGCATGTACATGTGTTCACACTTGTGAACTTTTCTTGCATTTATACAAAAAATAATCTTTTGACTCTGTAATGAGAGAGTGGTAGCTGTTTGAATTGTTCTTCAAATTTGAACCTCCTGGTATTTGTGGCTTCTGATTATTATAAGAAAAAAACATTTGAAATAGCAACAGATTGAAATTACATTTATTACTTGGGTAAGTCAGTACAGGGAAAAAAACACCATATAGACACAGGAAATTTGTTCAAAACATTCCCCAATTCACAGGGTCACATAATTTCTTTTCTGTCAATAAATTTTTCCAATCAAAGCAAAAGTCAGTAGAACACTTAGTTATGTCTCTGCCAATTTGTCTCATATCTCAAGTTGTTATTTGCTACTGAGGGGAGTATGATTTCAATACCATTTCTTTTTATCTACTTTGTTTCAGAGTTGAGTTTTAAAAATATTCACTCCTTTTCTGCCACCCCCCTTACCTTCTATTCTCTCAAACCTCCCAGGCATTCATTTTCCAGTGATTACAAACATCCTCCTTTCTCATACCTCCCAGTAGTGTTTGCTGTACATATCTCGTATGAAATGTTCCACATAGAGTTCCACTTTTAAGACCATGGACATCTCTCTTCTATTGTATTTTGCTTTTTTTAAAAAAAATATTTTATTTAATTATTTTCAGAGAGAGGGGAAGGGAAGGAGAAAGAGAGGGAGAGAAACATCAATGTGTGGTTGCCTCTCATGTGTCCCCCACTGGGAACTGGCCTGCAACCCAGGCATGTGCCCTGACTGGGAATCAAACCGCGATCGCATGGTTCACAGGCCCGTGCTCAATCCACTGAGCTACACCAGCCAGGGTGTATTTTGCTTTTTTTGTGACCATACTACCTTTACACATTTCTTTAAAAACCCTCTTTGGAAATTGATAAGTCATAAATTGGCTGCATTTCATAGATGAGAACATTTCAAGATGCTCATAGAGTTCAGATTCTTTTTTTTTTTTAAGATTTTATTTATTTATCTTTAGAGGGGAAGGGAAGGAGAGAGGGAGAGAAACATCAATGTACGGTTGCCTTTCATGCATCCCCTGCTGGGAAGTGGCCTGCAGGGAACATGTTTGCAACCCAGGCATGTGCCCTGACTGGGAATCGAACCACAATTGTCTGGTTCGCAGGTCTGCGCTCAATCCACTGAGCTACACCAGCCAGGGCTGAGTTCAGATTCTTAAGTATAAAAAGCTTAAGTATAAAGAGCTCAGATTATTAAGTGTCAAAAGCCAGAGAGTCTGTCTTTGCATTTATCCCTGTCTGTTGTCTCCCTTCCCCGCAGAACATTATTCATTTATGAATTAATTTACTTACACTCTTTCTTATTCTCTCCTACACATCTCCATTATATTTTCTCTTGACTTCCACCTGACACTTCAGCTTCCCCTTGGATCTGCCCAGTGTTGGCACTGGCCAGCATTTGCTACTTTCAGTGCTCTGGATTTTGGTCACTCTAACAGGTGAGTAGTGATATTTTATTATTGTTTGAATATGCAATTCCCAATAATAAATAATGTTGAACATTTTATATGCTTATTTGCCAGACATAGTCATACCTTTCATTTTGTTGCAACTAGAGATAGTGTCACAATAGAACTTACACTGATGTGAGCTTTCTAATTTCTCTTCAGATGGCGAATCTCTCTCTCACTCAGAGGGGAAAAAAGGGGCTTCATGCAACAATGGCTCACAACTAAGGACTCAGGGCTGTCTGGGCAAACTTCTGCTTTCTTCTTGAAGCACAAATGGGCAACAAAGAGGACCAGGGATCTGATTCAAAGTAAATGTAATGAGAAAAGAAGCCATGTTTATGTTGTTTACATTACAAAAACTAATCCAGTGATTTCCAGCAAATTGCTGGTAGGACACAGCTGCTTCTCTCTTTGGTCCCAGAAGAACTTAAGGAAATTGGAAGATCCCCTGGAGGACAGGGGTGGGGTTGCTTCATTCGCAGACTTCCTGTGTGGTTGGCTTGGAAAGGAAATCACCTGGTAGTTCTGTGATGGGGTAGAAGGGTAGACTATCAGTTTCTCCTCTGTGGCTGCTTGCCAGCTTTGTCTTGCACACATGGCACTGTCTGTGTATACTTGCAGCATTTGAAACTGCTCCTGGGGTCCAAGATTAAAGTCAGGGCTCTCCTGCGGTGAGAAGCCTGGGGAAGTGAGATTTACTAATCCCTGACAGTTATTTTCTCACTGCAACCCCTCAAAACCAACAGGAGAAGTAACATCTAAAGAGTTTATCTTCAGATGCTGCTTTTCTGGGGGCAGAAGGTAACCCTCTGACCCAGAGCTGTCTGTGGGTAGTGAGTCATGGACTGGTTTTCTGGTGTCTGAGGTTTTCCACCCTGTGGGAGATTGATCAACTTCCCACTCCCTGAGCTTTTGCAGCTGACAGTATCTGAGGCTGTCCTCATCTATGAACATTGCTTCATAGAAAAAGCGGTAGTGTCGTGTAAAAATGACCAAAAACCAACCCCATAAGGAACAAACATTTTCAAAGAAAAACAATACATTGCATTACAGATTCCAACCTATGCAGAAATAAGACAAGAGAAGGGCCAAAAATAACAAATATATTACAAGGTACAAGGGAATGTATTCCAAATGTAAAACCAGAACAAAAAAACATAGAAAATGGATCCAAGGAAAAATACTAGACATAAAAATGTACTTAGTTGACCACCATACTGTTATCTGTGTCTACGAGGTTTTGTTTGTTAGTCTTGTTGGTTCAGGGGGCTTAGGGGAGGTAAAAGAGGGTAAAGGGGGTCAAATATATGGTGATAGGAGATTTGACTTTAGGTGGTAAACACACAATGTAATATGGAATTGATGTATTGTATTCCATAATACATTGATGATGTATTATGGAATTGTATACTTTATTCACCATTGCCACCTAATACATTTAATAAAAATAAATAATTTTTTAAAAAAAGTAATAGTTGAAATATAGACTAAAATAGAATGAATAGTAGAATAAATAGAATTAAAGAAGAAATCATTAAATTGCATTGATCAAATAGAGAAAACTTTCCAGAAAGCCTTTTAAAAGTTTTATTTATATCCCAAGAAACATATGGTATTTAATATTACTGTAAAGACAGAATTGAGTGTAAAAGAAATCAAACATACCATGCAAATACTTTATCAGAAAGCCAGTATGGCTATATAAATATTAGACAAGTAGATTTTATGTAAGAAATACAAGTGGAAATATAGTGGGACATGCATCATAAAAACATAATAATCTTAAATGTTATACACCTAGTAATAAAGCTTAAAACTATGTGAAACACAAACTAATAAGCATTATGGGGTTAGGTAAATTCACGAATGGCAGGTAATTAAACATACCTCTCTCAGGAACTGATAGAATAACCAGAAAAAATGTTAACAGTGTGGTTATAGAAGTCTTGAACCACACTATTAACTAGGCAACTAGTACAGTCTAATGAATAAAGAGTAGTATATTCATAACCACAGAAAATATCCAATTTTAAAGACAACATGAATCCTTCACTAAAAAAATATGCTAATCAGTGTGTCTCATATATTTCAAGAAGCTGAACTGTTACAAGAAATTGTCCAGAACACAATAGAAATATATAGAATTCCATTAAAATAAGGTATCTTGGAAAGTTTAAAACATTTGTCTATTAACTGGCACCCTTCAAAATCTTATGAATTAATAAAAATAAAATTAGAAGATTTTTTAAACTTAAGGATAATGAAATAAAAAGATATAAAAATTTCTTGGATAGTGCTGTGAAAATGTATATCTTTATAAGCTTATGTTAGTTTAAAATCAATCACTTCAGATAATAAAAGTAGAAATAAACAAAATAAGAAAATGAAGTACATACAGAAAATATGACCAAAAACAACAAATCCATAATTTGATTATTTGAAAGGGAAACTTAAATTGATAAACCTTTACCAAAACACACCAAGTACAATGAGAAAGCAGAAATGACCGGTCCTGGGAACGAGAGGGATGGCATGGCAGGTCCCTTGGACTCTGAAAGGACAATAACAAAGTAGGATGAAACTTTATGGTAAAACAAACTCAGCAGCTTAGATGAAATAGAAAGTTTCTTTAAAAATAGTTTAATCAGAAAGATGAAGTAGGTGTATAATTTTTTCTATTTCTCATACAAAGTACAACTAAAAACCCTTTATAAAATGTACATATATATGAAATGTTAAAGGGACTTATCTAAGAAAAGGAAGATAAAAATATGAACAGTGAAAGGACAGCAAACTCAGTTATTAACAATTATACCTAAAACAAAAGCAAACTAAGAGGACAGCTAGATCAGGAATGGAACCATAGAAATGGAGATCTCATGGAGGGTTAGCAACAGGGGAGTGGGAGGAGGAGAAGGGGGGAGAAGGTACAGAGAATAAGTAGCATAGAGGGTAGGTAGAAAATAGATAGGGGGAGGGCAAGAATAGTAGGGGAAATATAGAATCTAAAGAACTTGAGACACATGGATATTAGATAAAGGGGGGGAATGGTGGGGGAGGGGTGTGCAGGGTGGAGGGGAATGAAGTGGGGGAAATAGGACAACTGTAATGGCATAATCAATAAAATATATTTTAAAAATGTACATATATATATGGTCTGGCACAAATAACAGCCTTTTAAAATACAAAATAAAAAATTTGTAATTCTGTAACATAACAATGTCACACTCAAGCACTCCATATGACATTTTAGGTGAAATGTTCAAATTAAAACTATAAATCATTACACCCATGTTATTGCCCTACCAACCACACTCAAGCAGGCATTCTGCTGCACTCTGTCATGATAAGATGGAAAACTGGAGAGAAGACTGGACTTTTAAGACCTCAGGATGCAAAGAAGGACACAGTAGTGAGTACCCTGAGTGTTTTTTCTTTCTTCTTTTTCCTCCCTTCCTTCCTTTTCTTTCTTTCTCTCTTTCTCTTTCTTTCTTTCTTTCCTTCCTTCCTTCCTTCCTTCTTTCTCTTCCTTCCTTTCTTCCTCCTTCTCTCCATCCTCCTCCTCTCTCTCTCTCCTTCTTTCTTTTCTTTCTCTTTCTGTACGATTGAACCTGAAGAATCCATCAACCTGGAAATGGCAATGGACAGAGACAAGAAAAGCCCTAACAAAAGTCTGTCTGTTTGCTTTAGCCAAAGGACCAGGAACAAAACAGACCAGAAAACAAAACTTTTAAACAGTAAATGCTTTACTCCAGCCTGACACTACAAATACTTGTGGCTGCACTCCTACTACCCCAGCAAAGGCTGCCTGGAAAGTCTAGATTTCCTGGGTTGTCCCAGGCTGCATGCTGGGGACCCGTCCGACAGGACAGAGGGCTGGGCCTTCCATGCTAACTAGGCAGTGATAGACATGACCGCCCCCTTCCTCTCCTCTCAGTAGAAACGAGTTAGACAGGCTTGGAAGTTTGTTAGACAGCAACAGATAAGTAGGACCATATATAGATTCAGTAAGATTATTGATGAAGAGAAAAGGCAAGGAAAGATGAAAAGAGTATTCAGGGCAATGCTAAATTTAGATTGGGAAGGAAAGTGCATGTGTTGATTAGATGGATCTGGTTAGGTGCAGGTTACCGTCAAAGGTTGTAGCTTTTGTTTTGGGCAGTGTCCTCCCAGTTACCTAGTAACATTATTGCAAATGAATAATTAACAAACCAAATCTCAATTTTAATTTATTTAAAATTGAATTATATGTGGATAAGAATGTGTTATATATCAAGTATTATAATTTATCTAATTATCTTCACTTGGTATCCAATAAGAAAAATTGATCACTATCTATGGCAGTTAAATAGTATATTCTATAAAAATTCAAATATCAAATATGATAAGATCCTAGTAGTTTTTCTGGCCCTTTTATTCACGTTTCATTGCCTTGCTTCAGGCTCTCTGTATTAGTTATAAATGCTTTCCCAAGGAAAATGAAATACACATTTAACCTTCTTATATTGCAGTTGCAAAATTGTTCACAGGCATAGTCAATTGATGAAACATGTTGGCAGGATTTAATATATTTCTTTCTTGAAATTAGTATTGTTTTATCAGAGGTGCTAACCTTAGGGATGGTTAAATCATTATGTTTCTTCCATGAATAATTCTAGATAAAATACACAAATTCAAAATGAATTTATAAGTATGATATATACTTATAATAAACTTTTGTAGTGAACACCTTTAGAATAACAGCCTAAACAGTACAGTGACTCCTAGAAAAAGTTTTTTATAAAGAACGGAGATTACATAAGCGCTTATGTTTTTAAAATGCAGCCTTTATTGCATAAATAAGATTGTAGCAATCACAGTTTTACAACAACAAAAAATAAGCTCCCAACAGGCGAAATGTTTTGAACTGTTGAGGTTGTATCTGTAGGGTAAGTGGAAGCAGTCTGGCTTCCTCACCCGGGTGTCTGGGTGAGTGAGGGAAGCAGTGTTCCCATAACCTTGAATGGACCTGATAAGTCATGTTCTCATAGCCTTGAGACTGGGTCTGATAAACAGTTCCCATAACATAAAGTGGGCTTGCATGAGCGGAATCATGCTATGTTATATAATATTTTGGCTTGAGGCCAGCTTTGTTTGTCTCTAGTACTTAAGCAAGTAGAGACTTCTCACTAGGGATGACTTGCAACTTGCAGCATGCGTGGCTCACCCACCTATAAATAAAGGCATGTCAAGCACCCCCATAGCT